TGTTCTAAGGGCATTTATCTTACCCTTGTAGATTGGGCTGCGAGACTACTTTTTCAGTTTTACTTTGTGTTGACATAGTCTGACTCTTCATTTATTCATAGTTTCTCTATAGCTTCTTGTGTAGTTTGCTTTTCTGGACTCAAAATGGCGTTTCCCAATTCTACAGGCTTTTCATGATTTTTCTTGTAAAGGGCTTGACCAATGTTTCAGGGTGTTACAAATTAATGGTTTGTGGTTTTGCCTGTTTACTCATAATTAATCACTTCGATAACCCTGTTTATCAGCGACCTTCTCAAAGACCTGAACAAGACCCACCACTGACCCCTGACATTTCACTGTAATGACCCCTGTGTTCGTCATCACAGGAGACAGTTTAACACAAACACCCACGATTGATTTATCTGAACACTTCCTTCATCAAAGCTCAACAGAGGTGAAGTTTGTTCGTGTTTGTGAGGGTGCAACAATAAAAGGTCAACCTAGCTGCAGTAAAATAGCAATCTAACTATCAGTCACAAAGGATTTCATGGATCTACACCAGCCTGCTGTGCCCTAAGAAGCTATGCGAAACCTTTGTATCAGCTGATTGCAGTCATGTAAATACATAGAGGAAAAAATAAACAAAGATAACATTTACTAATGCTTACCTTGCAAAATACTTAAATATGAGTATTATTTGTGGGCTTTAACCAGCTAACTCGTAATTATCAGAAGTATGCCGGTGAATGAATTATTTGATCACTGATCGAAAGCCTTCATTGTTGACGACATCGTTAGGAGACAGATCTTTTGAATAGACAGGTGATGAATCTTGCTATTTTTTGCCTGTTCAAATCTGCCCGCTTTCATATTGGTGAAGTGATGCCGGGTGCGTAAGTCAGCTGTTTTTGGCCATTGTTCCGCTTGTTGGGATGTTTAATTGCTCTCCTAAGATTTGACATAAATTTGATTCCATACCTTTTCCACTACCGCTTCGTCAACCATGTAGGCTTTAGACTTGTGGTCATGTAAGCAGTTGCAAAATATTTTACTGTAATGAACTTGCCAGAAATGGAATGTGTTTATAATCGAATTAGCTGATCTTTAAAGGAGCTACACTTTTTCTGTGATTTTCGATAACAGTGTCAGCAGTAACGGTATTTATAGCCGCTTCTCTGACCACGAGTACTGCCACAGCCAGCTTGTTTGGATCATCTAAGACTTAAGGTAGCAAGACGTCAGTTTAAACACACCTTCAGCAGGTAGACCCGCTGTAATGGAGATGCAAATTCGTGCAGCACTGGGCTCAAGTGACAGCGGGTCAAGCCGTTTCAGCAGATAGCCTTTCATAGTAAACACTGATACTCACACTGACGCTCTGACACAGGGTGGAGGAGCCCTGTGGTCAGTGAGCTTGTAGGACCGTTTGGCTCTGCTCTAAAAGTCAGAGCTGTACAAGCTTGTCTTCAATGAGGAGCAGCTGAAAGTCTTGCTGCGTCCTAGGCAGTTCAGGCAGTTCAGGCAGTTCATTAGTTTTGTCGGAATAACCATTCATTACCAAGACTAAGAGCTAGCTAATGTTAGCAGCACACCTGACTAGCTTGCAGATTTTCCATTCTTGAAGTGGCTGCTGATTTTGAATTGATCTAATATTGTAGAAACTATAATTAATAATAATTCACTGTCTGATCTGAACCCTTTTTTTCCCCACACCCGTAGTAGTGCATGTAAGTCTTTGTCATCCCTGCTTTAAAGACCGCCTTTCATATCATGTCCTGTTTAAAAAGAAGGTTGACAACATTGAGAGAAAAGTGTGATCAACAAACAACAAATATTCCCCCATCTCCCGCTCTCATCCCCTCCCTCTGTTAGAGTTTTTTTGATGAGGTCTGTCATTGTGACTGGAAAATTATATCTTTCTGCGAGCCTCTCATATCAGCTTCATTAGTAAGAAGGTTGTAAAACACTGATGAATGTTTCCCATCATCCCTGGTGTATGCTGCACACGTGAGCCTGCGAATTAAAGTTGGCACAAAGGTTTATTTGATTTGATTATTTAATCCCTTCCAAACACGGTTTTATGAGACGAGCAGTAACAGAGACTGAGCTTTCAATTCTTCTTCACTGACTCCATTAGTTTGATTTTGTCTGTTTGGGCCTCAGTTGACAACTCAAATTAATAAGAAACAGGAGAGATGCAGAAGGGAGGTCCACGGGACAGAAGCTGTTGATGAGGCTGTAGTTACAGCTGAGTGCATGAGTTTATGCAAATTACACTGTGCAAAGATGGACAGCTTTATGAATCTGATGCTGTTGTATTGATTGATTGAGTTTGTGTGTTTTCCTTGCTAATGCTGTAACAGCCACTTGGGGCACTTGCTTGGGTGTTAATTTAAACAGTTTCATAGACAGAAAAACAATAAGGAACAAAAGATAATTCAGTAAAATCCATGCATCCATTAATCCATGTTCCACATAAAATCGATTTAAAGATGGCTGCATGTGTAGGGAGAATAAGGTTGGATGTATTTTTCAGTTGGTGTGACTCATTACAAGCAGTCAGATGGATTCTGCTGCTCAGCAGCTTCTCATGGCTCGTCTGTCTTCAACCTCATGCTCAGTCCCGCAATAACTCTCCTCATTACAGCTTTAATGGGCCAATCAACACCGCGCATGGCCAAAGGCACACTTCTCTACTCCTCATAGCTTAATGCTGGTAACACCTTCTTTCCAATCATCGACCCTTATTTCTCAACCACACATTGCCATCTCTGACAGTCTGTTTTTCACTTTTACGTCCTGTATTGTCTGCTGTATGTTTACAGGAGGGAGCCATTATTCTGTCTGTGCATGATGGGTGACCACTTCAACACATTTCATATCATTGACTGGTCGTGTATGGAAACTGGTACAGATTGGATTATTGTTTCATGTTTGTATGTCTATGGTATATGTGCATATAAAGTGTCAAACAGGTTCATGTGTTTTACAAATCTGTTTGCTGTTTGCTCTGTATTGAACACCTCTGGTTCATGCATGCTGCTGACCAATTCAAGACACCTTCAAAACCCTTGAATGGTGTAATAAGAGAAATCTTAAAGTCTAAAAAAGGAATTCTCCTCAACTGATTTTGGCCAATGATTGGTAAGTCATTTTATATGTTGGTTTGGTTTAACATTACACTCACTCATAGGGTGGTACAAAATATTGATATAGCATACAATACATATATTGTCCTGATTTGTGATCCAACTATCGCTATACTGGCCCCAAATGTTTTTTTGTTGTTTTATATGGCTGTCTTAACAGATTTCCCAGCCAATTTCACCCATGTCAATACTTCATGACTCCTCATAGTGGCACATTAGTAAAGGTAACGTGATGGGAAGTTAATTGGCCGAACAAGAATGGGGTGTAGAGTAGAAGAAGACACCTTGCTTCAGCCAGTGCTGAAAATAATTTAAAATATGCGTTTGCCACTTTCAAATCCAACAGAAATCTAGACATCAAAAGGTGCCTCCAGCTCTTTATGCTGTGACAAGAGGAAACGTGAAAGATGCACTCCTGCAAGCAGAGAGAGTTGAACTCACCCTCCATCTGAAGACTTCACCGGCCACAAAGCCCTTTGTGACAATCACTGCACATCTTATTGATAACGAGTAGGAAATGCATTCCTACTTGCTACAAACAAGGGTGATGCATTAGACTCACACTGGTGCTCATATGCCAAAAGTTTTAATGCTAATAGAAGCTGTCTGAAAAAGATCGTGTGTTGTGCCAAATTGAGCGGCTTTGTCAAAATGCATAACTGTAGCGTATATCGGATATTATGGTGGCAGGACTGACAGCGAGGGGTTCACGTGAATGGAACATGTATGAAGATGTTTGGGCAGGATTTATTTGATATCTGCTATATTAATGTTGAACCTTTTACTACTTTGCTTTATTGGATCCCGGATATGAGAAGACTGAAAATGACTTGTTCATGTAAATCATTTCTGCAGAAGTTTTAACCCTATTGCACAATGTCCTTTGTTTTTAAAAGAGAAAAGAAAAATAGAGCAGTGACTCCATGGTGATTTAAAATAGGTTCTGATTGTTTGTGTGCGTGTGCATGGGTGATTGTGTGTCTCTGTCTCCCTTTATGTTGGGACAAACTGTCCGTGCTAAATATGTGTGGAAGGTGAAGCATAAAGGATCAATATTGGTGATGAGAGTCGCGCCAGCAAACACATTTTAATCACCCCGGACCTTAAAACAACGCCAACCCGCAGACCTGCTGCTTTGTGGCTGCGTGTGTGTGTCTCTTTGTGTGTGTGTAGGGGTGATGTAAATGCTGATGTCAGCACATGTGATTATTTATACATTATTCATAAAATTCTCAGCTTAACAACAGACCTTCCTCTTGTACATTTACTGTTTTAGCACAATTGTACAGACTGTTTAGGTCATTGTTAATGGCACAGCAGCGTGTTTGAATCTCCACCATGTAAAATATAATCGGTCTCCAAGCTGGTGCCAGCAAAGGAAGGGTAAAAGGTTAGGAATTCCATTTGAGCTACTTTTTGGATTAAAATTCAGCCTCAGTACACAATAATGTGTCCCCAAGTACAATTTGCAAGTAAAGGAGAACTAAAGCCAAAATGCTGATACTATTTTTAAACAATCCTGCTCTGGACCAAAATCAATCCAAGGTTAAGTTTTTGGATTAAATGCAGACAAAATGACTGCAATCACTAAGCCTAAAATTCAAGGAGTGACCTTCAGAAACCCTTAATAGTAACTGGAGGGATACACCTTCACATTTTGAAATACATGTGGTTACTCATTTAAGTCATACTGTGACTGAATAATGTTGAAGATCCACTTCCTATGACATTTGTCTCACTCAGAGTTACAGTACTTAATTTTCCCAGATCCTCCTATGTTGGTGCTTGGATTTGAAGAATCTCAAGTACTTGTTTTATAAACCTATCAGGCCACAAACTGTGTTGTCTCTTGTTTCTGTTGTTTCCATCCAGGATCCCTGCAGGGTGAATACCAGAGGAGGTTGTACAAGGAACTGATGGCTAACTACAACCGACTGGAGAGACCTGTGGTCAACGACTCAGCCCCCATCCTGGTGGAGCTGGGCCTCACACTACTGCAGATCATAGATGTGGTGAGATAGATAACATTCACTTGGGATTACGGTGCAATGTTAAATGGAAACCTGCCTGGATACTTGCATTATTTAGTACCACATTAGGGGACTGTTGCGTGTGGTGATTACAAGGTAGCTTAAGTACCACAACACAGTCATGACAGTTCATAGCATAGCAGCGTAGCAATTCTTGTGCTGGGGGTCAGAATCACGTTGGATAAAAGCAAGTGCGATGTTTCAATACATTTATCACTCACGGTATCCGTTTTCATGCCTCGTCTCGAACATTGGCCGACACAGAGTACCCCTCCATTACATGTACAATTTTAAAATGTACAATGATGGACTGGTTGCTGATGAATTGCTACTTTTTTCTAGCATCAAAATCTCTGCTAGACCCACACTGGTGTTGTCACCACTGATCACCAATACCTGGTAACCAGTACCACTTTTAAGGCAATGTAAATTCATTTTTTTCCAGTTAAAGGCATGGTTGGTCATTTTCTGCAGATACACTTTTTTTTAGATTTTGATTGAAATTGTCTTTAAGTCCTGAAAGAAATGTAAAATGAAAAAGGAACTAAGAAAATGCATCATCTGTAGCAGTTGTAAGCACGTAAAAATGTCAACCAATGTCTGCACGAGGTGCCATTTTTATGAACCAATCACGCCTCCCTCTCTCCCTGCTCGTTCTCTACCCCATGCATTCACAAGCCCACACTCAGCTGAGCTCCGCTTCTGGACCAATGGCGCTTGTGCATGTAAGTGAGGGGCTTTAAGGGAACACAAAGGGGACGGGGTTGGTGCAGACGGAGCACTGAGGGAATGCTACTTTCAAAATCATGATAGTTTTCGAAAAATTGAGTCATGACCCATATCAGTCGGGTGTTTCTATGAGTGTGTTGTGGCAATGGATCAGTGTTAGGTGATGGAAGAAGTAATGCACTCCTACTAGTTGACTTCAGAGAAGTCTAGAGACCCTTCAGACTCTGATGCTTAATAACTCACATGAACCACACACAGAACAGAACTCTAATACAATAGTGTTTAAAGGTAACAAAGCTGCACCCTTACCTCAGCTGACTCATAGTATGTTTTATATTGTCTTGTCAGTGTTCCATTGTTTTTTTTATCTTTACGCATCAAGGGACGCTGTCTGAGTTTGTTTGTTAGCTTCCTGCTCCACTGAAGCAGAGTGGGATTGAACCTGGCTCAATATTGTGCTGCAATGAAACTCCAGCTAGGCACTGAGGGGGCCAATCAAATACACGAAAGCACATGTTCCTATTAGATTTCTTTGCCGTGTGAACAACATATTTCAACTGTTCACCCTTGAAACTCCTGTGACAAAGGATAAACCAGTTTCTGCCATTAGACATGTCATGGCTTGTAAAAATCACAATTTAGATGAACATGTTGCCTCTCTGGGACTTTCTGCTTCCTTGCCATATTCTATCTGAATACCTGCCGAGTGTCTTTCTCCTCAGGGGAGGTTTAAATATTGCTTATTTACTTTCCCAATCCACATTTCCTCGCCCTGTTTGGACAGAAGATAAGAGGTGACAAACTCTCTCCAAGGGCAACTGTCTTGATGGTGTTTTGTGTCGGCCTGATTTTGACACCCCTGACAAATTCACAATTTATGAAAATTACCATCCCCTCCTCTGCCCTCCAGATGGTGACCTGAAAATCTCTCCAGGTTTAATTTTTAAAAATTCTGCTCTGATGCATCTGGCATCGATCCCTGACTCATTAACCACGACGGAGGACCAAAACCCTTGAGACATTTGGGAATCTGCTAGTTTGTTAATCAGTCAGCCCTCCCAAAGAAAAGAAGGAAGTGTTAGTATGTTAGATGCACTAAGTTTCATACCAATCAGATGTCTGCTCTTCCAAGATCGAGTGTGTTCTTCCAAAAGGGCCACACCACACCGTCAGCGCTACGGTATTGCTCTGTCAGACAGCAACACGCCCTGCCCCACTGGATTAGTTTTTGGAACATGAGCGGTGGAGCGCAGCCATGGGCAGCTGTACACACATCACAAGAGAACTACTTTTCTGTCTTTGTCTTTCTGAGGTTGATTTGTTTTTCGTTTTGTGCCTGTTTTGACGTAATGTTGATAAAGGGATGAAAATACGATCATGAGTCCGTATATAATGTTTTACTTTTTTTTTATTGACCAGACACTCTGTGCGTTTTCTTGTCTGACTTCCTGCCGGGGTTGTTCTTCTCTGTCCAGCTTGACTCTTACCTGCAGCGTACTCCTGCTTCTTCCCTATAACCTAGAGGCAAGCTGCTGATATACTGCTCAGAAATGATATTGATAGCTTTTTATCTTTTTGAAAAACTTCTCAAAAGCCCAAGAAAATCTTTTGTCAATTTTATTTTTGATTGATTGAAATTATGAAGCAATAACTGAGGTGCCTAGACCCTGTGGTGTGTTCATTTACTGTTACACTGACAAATGAAAGAGTTCAACCAAAAATCATCCTGTTCTCATCATATTGAAATGACAGTAAACGGTTGCAAATAGACCAAGTGCCAACTTTTTGGTTTAACCCGACAATTGTTGTGGTTATTTTCTTTTTTTAAATCAAGTTTACCCTCAAACGACTGAGACTGAAGATTAAAGTTTAAACATGTTTGACAACTCAGAAAAATGGTTGGTACATTATTTGTGCTGTCCACTGAGGATGACTCGCATTAGGCCTAAATCAATAGGAAAATTAAACACATTTTAATATTCAACTGCTAGAGATGTGACCTTTTGGCTTTAGTATGACTCAAAATCTTTAAAGAGTACTTAAGAATATACAATAAAAACAAGGTGAAGCCTGCTTCAGTGTCTATATGTTGAATGTTTGCTCACTGTCCAGATGATGCTGCAGGCATTCCAGTGTTCTGACCTTGAATTGAACCTTGAGTGAGGTTATTATTTACAGGTTATACATTTGATAACATCTATCCTGAATTTATCTTTCTACAAATATCAAATTTGCCAAAATATCAAATACACAACCAGAGACACACACAAACAGGTGCACAGTCACAAACCACTTGGGTGTTTGAAATCCCTGAAGAGACTATAATTACTGTCAGCTGTGACCTTTGCTCAATCATCTGGGTCATCTGCACTGGGAGGAGACATTATAGAAGGGTGTACCATATGTTCAAGTATTATCAACCCCAAGCTTAGAAGAGGGATAACAAGGTTTTTGAAAAACACTTGTAAACAGATGCAGTTCCTCCTCTCCTCTCTACCAGAGGACTTGTGCATTCTTCCTGCTTCGACTTTTTCCACTGTGCACTTGGAGCAGACTTTTGATGCCTAGATAAATGATAATTTCCCTCTTCTAAATGCAACAACTTTATATGTAAGGTTTATAGCCTTCATCCTTGGTTGTTTAAAAGTATTTCTTTCCACTTTTATTTGCTGTACTTAATATTATGTCTCATATCTGTATCGGTTCTAGCAAAGCATTTCACAGTTATGTGCAGCTGTTTCAATCCACTAGGTCATAACATTTTAGCTGTTTTTATTGTGTGTGTTGTGTAATTTGTGAAACCATTCAGCTGAACTACACTTTAAATATGCAAACCATCTTCACTGACTTGGTGGAGAGAAAAGGCCTTCTTTACTTATTTATTAAGTATTGGTCTGGCTAGCTGTCTTCTCTAATGTAAAAGAAAAATGCCAACTCTTGTTTTCTGTTTTTCAGGATGAGAAGAACCAAGTGCTGATGACCAACGCCTGGCTGCAGCTGGTGAGCCTAACTTTAAGAACGATGCATTATCATCAATTTATTCTACGCGGGAGCGCGATGAGAAAGGGAGGGAGTGCAGAAGATGGCTGAAGACTTGATCATTAATGGGTCTACTGTTAAAGGCCTTAGAATTTTCAAGAAGGAAAGAGTTGCTTTTTGCTGACTTCAAAGAAGTAACATCACTCATCTTGACTTGATGATATAGGGAGAAGATGAGTTTCAACATGCAGATACATTTTAAGTGTTACTGTTCATGATTAAAAAGACTGCTTTACCTGTATTGGGGGGAAGGGGGGCTATTTCACATATGATTTGCCCATAGTTTGCGTTAGATTGGTCGTACTCTTAATGGGACTTTTCAAGTTTTGCCCATGCAAGTCTTGAGTGATTATCTCCTTCTCTCTGTGTCAGTACTGGACCGACATATACCTGAGCTGGAATCCAGAAAACTTCCCTGGTGTCCAGAACCTGAGATTCCCTTCAGACCAGATCTGGACCCCTGACATCCTTCTTTACAACAGGTCAGTTCTCCTGACAATGCAAAACAGTGTCACAATGTGACAGAGGTTGTACTAGTGATGAAACAACAACAACAAACATTTTTGAGCTCCTTAAAGGTCAATGGAGCCTCATAGGGAGTTTAGGCTCACTGTTGAGCTGTGTGGCCGACAACTTCAGGATAGTCACTGATGTAAGAGTAGTTTAATCTGCACAGTGCAGCTGTTAGCAAATAAAATATTTAAAAAAACAATTCCACACAACTTGCTCGGCACCAAACAGCAGACTGACACAGTAAGCAACTAACTAGTAAATAAAGAGGAGCATTTATATGCTACAGAGCCAAATCTTTCACTCTGGAGTTAGAGGAATACAGAACTAAATGAGAGTCAATATTGAACATTTAAGGTTTGTCGGCATTTTCTCTTCTTTTTATGTATTTTTTTTTTTTTTTAGTTTAGTATACTTTGTTGATTCTGTCAAACAAAGTGTTTTAATCCACCTTTGCAAATCCTCCTGGGACAGCATGCCTTCTTACTTTTTTTTTGTTTTTGAGTAAGAGGTGATTGAAATACCAGTGTAATCCCTCTGATGCAGCGTTGTTTTATTAAATTCTGATTTTAATCTTCACAAGCCATGACACTCTTAAGGGTGTTGGAAGAGGTGTTGTACCACGTCCTCTATCTCACTTTGGCATCATCGTCTCTGTCTCAGTTCAAACCTTCCATTAGTCGTGTTAAAATGCAGAAAAAGGCTGTTCATCTCTGTTGTGATTTGATTTGGACTAGTGTGTTAGCAATAAAGTTACTACTGTCTTGTAACAATTAAGAGACGTAAAGGCGGAGGCCCTGATTAAAATAAACGAGGTTGAGCGAGCTCATTGCATTTCTTGATTCAGGTCAGGCTGCTGCTGTTTGCTTATTCACTTTTCTTCACACTTTTCTGCAAGGCTTTTGCAAGTCAATTAGAAATGTAGGCCATTTTTTTTCTCCCTGAAACAACTAATTGCATTGCGTGTGCATGCTTGGGCTACAGACGGATGATCTGGTCTGAGACTGCAAGGAAAGAGAGACAAAAAGATGGATAGATTTAATCACAAAGAGGATAACAATGACACAGTTAGAATGTTGGGCAATAATGCAAAGCACACGCTTTGAACACGAATTTGGATTAGAGAGAAAGACATCTTTTAAGTCTATTTTAAGTGATGTTATTGTGTGATTGGAGGGTGGAGCCTAGGATGTTTTGCTTCCTGCCCACATATTACCCTTGAATACACACGCTTACACACACATGCATGTACACAAGGACAAAGGTTTGGGGGTATTAACCCAAATTTTAAAAGCTCAGCTCTCAGACCTGCCCGGATTACCCATCCTAATCTCCCTGCTCTCACCCCTCTTTTTACCCGTCTCTGCCTTTTACCCTCTACCTCCACTCCCCCACCCCGCCTTACCATCTCTCCTCTCATCTCATTCTATTTGTGTCTCCCTCTGTCTCTCTTTCATAACTCACTGTCTTTCTGTAATTCACTCTATTCAATCAACCCTTTCCCTCCATATTTTATTGTTTCTGCCTTCACCAACCCCTCTTTATAAATCATCCCATCCACCTGTCTCTGTCTGTCAAGGTGTCAGCATGTTACCCTGCCCTTCTTCTCACAGTATATCTGTTTGATATAATTCTTCTTTTTCTTCTGAGCTCTCCTGTGCTTGTATTACTCGGATACCTGCGCAAATCTGTTCTCACATGAACACATTAAAACTGTTTTCCGGAGAGATAAAATGTGTTTTGAAAATTTGAATATTTAAGCACCAAATTTGGTGTTAAAAGCACTTTGGTAATGGCTTGACATTGTTTGTCAGGTTAATTCGGCACATAATCAGGTTTCTACAGCTATGCTAAAGTCTTTTGAGCTAATTGCATACATTAGCCCTAAAACTTACAATGAGAAAGCCAGCATGTCTGTTTTCCACGTTACCCTTATTAATTAAGTCTGTTAGCATGTTAAAACTTAATATTTATGACAGCTAATGATAAAGAGCATACTATGAATACAGCTGAAAAGTTAGAGAATCACCAAAGATATCCCAGTTAATCCTGAGGCAAAAATCTTTCTCCAGATTTTGAGATATTTCTCCAGTTAACTACTTAGATTTGGTGATCAACAAAATCACAAGGATGAATCTTCTTGAGATCATTAATAATATGTAGTGTATAAGTGTAGACCAAAGTCGTGTACAGATCGATTTACCTACACTGACACAGCCGAACAGTAGAGTGCAACTTCAAAGTCATGTCATTACATCTTGTGCCATGCCTTTCTGTACCTTAACCAATTGCTCTGAGTTGACTTAATATTACCTGAGAAACAAATCAGGACAACTGATCTGCAAACAGTTTGCAGAATTAAATATACTTGGTTTCTTAATTCCCTGTTTGAAATGCAAATTATTTGTAAAGAACCATAAACCCGTTTGACTGGTTGAAAAAAAAAGTATTAATTGTAACCTATAGGAAACAGCCGTATGTTTTTGGTGTGACTGTGTTATCACAAATTAAAAACACTGCCGAGGTTGCTTACTTGTTGAAGTTGAATATGAAGTTCGGTAAAGTACAGCTGAAGGTAAAGATTTCTGTTTACATCTGAGCTAGAGGATTAATATCCCCCTTGAGGAGAGATGGAATATTACAGTTTTCAATAATAATGCAGAGGCTGCTGGAAACACACACAGCACACCTAAATAATGACACACACACGCCTCTGAGTGCTCTTCTCATTGTTTTACAGTCAGTACATGTGTACATGCACAAAAATAACTATACATTCAACTCGCTCCTCTCTGGCCTTCCTCACACACACTTACTCTGTCACGCAATTACAGACCATAATGGCTCCACACACACCATTACACAGTGGGCCATCAGTGCACAGCCAATAACATGCTAGTCTTACTGTGTTGAATAGCAGATACATTCAGGTTTATTTGCACAGTGCTCAGATGAGAGCTCACCAAAAATGCATCCATTCGCTTCTGTTGTTTAATATCAAGTTAATGATGTTTAGAAGTGCTGAAGTCGGATGCCATCAGAACATGAGCGCAAAGGAGAAAAAACATCAGATATTGTAGGTGATGAGTCACTCAGCTCATATTATGCCAGTGTGAAATCTTTGATATCTCTCTCAAATCATCTTTCATATTTTCAGATCATTGTGCTCGCACTGACTCACTCTGTCCAATAATGATACTTCACGCATGGGTAGTCTATACCTTGAGTCAAGGATTTACTATCTCGCCCATCAGATGTACAGTATACTGCCCACAGGGGAAAACATGTCTACCATATATATTTGAAGGTTTTCCTTTTGGATGATAAACAACATCAAAGAGCTTAACGTGCTGCCAGCACTGCAGTAACACTTAAACATTTTTAAAACCCAGCTCTGGTTATCAATTTCATATTTGTATTTTTATTTAATGAAATTCAGAGAAGTTTAACAAGAAGGAAGAAAAAGGTCAAAACTAAATATAAGTAGTATATGACATTGGCTTAGATTGACAAGCATGATAAAAAATGAAGTTCTCCCACTTCCCTGATGAGAACAAACTGTAATCTTTATATTGGCTCCAGTTTGTCTGCCATAAAAGCCTGGGCGCAGGCCATATGCCTTTTTTTTTTTGCTTGTGTGTGTTAGAGAAGCAGAATTGGTGTGTGTAATTATGTTTGTCCAAAGAATATCCAGATTAAAAACTGCTCTGTGAGCCCTTGACCTCCTCTCTCGTTAGAGGGAAAAGTCAACAGTCTCACTTGACTGGGGATCAATGAAGCACATGAAGGTCGTTCAACTCAGGTAAAGCCACAGACAGAATCATAATTCTGCCTGAAAGGTAGGGAGACTTTCAAAACAGCCAGAGCACTTTGACAGGCCATGAAGATGAAAAGGGAATTAATCAGATAAATGGATACTGGGAGGCATTTTGTTTTTTTGCATCTCTGGATGGAGGGATGGTTAAATGAATGGACAGATGGAAAAACTGGATGACCTTTCTGTGGTCACTTAAACAAAGAAAATAATGTGAAAGTTTACTGTATGTTCAGAATGTAATTGAATGATATGTAAGCATTGTGTAAGTTTGTAAAAACATGTATCTGTAAAATTGTGACATTCTCAGGTTAAATCTTTTCCGACAAAAAACCCCCCCAGCTCAAATAGGAAACAAATGGCTAAGTCAACGACAGAATGATTAGCAGAAGCCTGCAGTGTTTGCATATCTGATACTAAATCTAGAGAAGGAGAACAACCAGAGGAAGCTCCATGATGCACAAGAAATGCACATGCACGAGTTTAAAAAAACAACTCATATTCTTAGCATTATGCTTCCAAGCCTTCTGTTGGCTTACAGAGGATGTTTGGAAGACATCCGTTTGTCATGGGTGATGTACACTGGGAATGAGCTTATCCCACTATAGAAATAAACATCCATCTGTACATGGGAAATGTTGTGCACTGTTTGCCTGCAGCGTTGCTGACCAGCATGTTAACCACACAGCTGTAATCAGACAAAAGGCCCAAGGCTGTAAAGTTGAAGCTATGCTTCTGAGATATGGTACACGGCTGGATAGGTCTGATCTTAATGTAGTCAAAGTAGGCGCTGAACATGTATGTAGCTTTTGACTGTAAAAGGCTGAAAGCTTCAGTGAAAGACACAAGTCTTCTCTGATACACATACTAGCTCTTTTATACTTCTGATTTGACTAATTAAGAATTTAATACTTTGTGTGAAGGAATATAAAAGCTTCAAATAAAGATGTATTCTGTAAACCTCCTTGATGCTCTTTCATCTTTCAAAAACAAGCATATCAGTTCAATAATGCCATTAAAGCTAAACTAAATGTTTTTATGACAGTATGATTTTGAACTTTAAAATGTCACTTATAACAGCATGTGATGTTTTATTCTCCACTACATGGATCTCTTTCTGCCTCAGGAACTCTCCTTACTTTGAAGCTGCCTTCTTATTGTCAGTGAAGTGTGCGTGTGTGTGCGTGTGTGTGTGTGTGGACAGCAGAAGGTGTTGAGTGAGTGAGAGGAAGCTTTGTGACTAATGTCCCATGGTGCAGGAACCTGTCACTGCCACCTTTGTCATTCTGATGGTCAGTCCCTGTTTCCACCTTGCTCCCTTCTCACATATCCACAGTGCTCTTTCTTCTATATGTGTGTGTGTGTGTGTGTGTGTTCAAGAGAGAAAGAATGAGAGGATGTGTTGTACAATCACAACTTTTTCCCATTCTCCCAGGGCTATCACTTATCCAGTTGTTTGCACGTGTTATGATAGCTGTATCCAAAAAATATTGTATTTTTCAGTACTATATATATTATAGTATATTGAATAAGCACAGTATGTTCCCTACAGTACAAACCCAGAGTCCAGAACTTAATCTGTTGTGATGTATATAAGCGCTGAATGCACAAGAAAGTGCACACCTTCGGATTAAATAAGACGAAACCTTGAATAATTCATCAAATAACTCTGCCTTGGCCAACCCCCCCCCACACACACACACACACACACACACACACACACACACACACACACACACACACACACACTTCCCTGCCCAAGTACTCCAAACCACAGCTGATAGCAACACACTCTTAACAGAGGAAAGATAAATTACAACACTTAACCCCGGGACAAAAGATCAATCTTCAATGTGAGCAAAGGCAGGGACAGCCTAAATGGGTCTATCCACAAATTCTGTTAAGATGGGAGCAGCATTCTTTGGAGAGGCTGAATGGGGCTCCAGCTCGTTTCAGACGCACTGACGTTATCTCTCTTGCAGGAATTGCCATTGTGGTGGTTTTGATTTGTGTACACGAATAGGTGTATTGTGTGTGCCTGTGATACTGTAAATGTGTTTATGTGCTGAGTTCAGTATGTGGGTTTGAGTCCTAAAGCTTTGGGCTTAGAACTTGGCGGAGAGACATTTGAGTACATGTGTGTATTTTGGGATCATTTCATGCAATGAATAAAAACTCTACAGTACTCTGATATTTGTTATTTTTTTCTGACTACTGAATTCTGTCACTAGACCAGAGAGAGGGGCTCCATGCATTTTTGTTATCATTTCCCCTTCTTCATTATTGAGTTTCATTATCCTTCTCTATTTTCTGTACCCAGTGTCTGGATGGGGTTGGCATTTCTCTCTACTACTATGGATGTATTTGACCAACAAGTTAGCTTCATTCACAAATAACTGTGAGTCATACATCAATCTCACATCCCTTAGGCTGTCATCTGACGACAATTTAGCCAGGCGATGTCCTTCTTACAAACAGGGAAAGATTTCTTCTTTCAAGCCTTGGTCATTGCATTCAGCCTGTTTATAGCTCCCCATGATAGGTTTTCCATCCCATTCAAACACAATTGACCAAATGGTTTTTATTGCATTTCTTCCAAGCAGGCAGCAGGTTGGGAACACTGTTGTCTGACTGAGGAAGAATCGGCTGGCTAAATAAAATAAGGAGAAAATGATTATGTTACTGTAAAAGGAGGCCAGTAAATCCAGACACATTTTATCTAAGACAACCATTAAAATAACATTAGTTTCTCTGTGAATGGGGAAAGGATAATCTCTTACAAATAAATTACTATAATCCAGGAAAAAGGGAACATTTTGAGCCATAAACTGTACTGAAAACAAACTGTGAAGCACTGCCTAAAGTCTCTTAGTTGGGATTTGCCACTGGCACTTCTTTTTAGAGTTCACACTCAAAATGACACCAGAGGAACAACTCTTTAATACTTAATTAGAGTTCAACTGAAGTGCAAGAGCTGAAGGTTAGCTGCTCTAGGCATTTACTTTGCTATAGCTATCAGTCCCCGGAAGACATGTTTGCTACCCCAAGACTTTCATAGAATACAAATTCTTTTGTTTTTGTTGTCCCTGTGCTGGGTGAGATGAATTTGGCTTCACTTGCAAGACCCTCACGCTTTAAATATTTGAGCCTAACTTACGGTATTCAAAACCTGTCCATGCCCGACCTTATATCATTCAAACGGGCTCTAAGTTTTAGATCCTTGAAAGGTGTGCTGTTATTTTGTTCAACTGATTTTACTTGACAATGGAATTGAATATTTAATGGATTTCACCTGGGTTTTAAATTTAAATATGCAGCTTAAGTAGAAGAGTGGAAGGCTGGATGGTCCAATAATGGGTTTATGAATATATGTATTCACCGTTAACTGCTGCAACAGTTCAGAGTAAAAGAAAAGAGTCTTTTACACTTTAATAAGTATTAATGAGCTGACTAATTTGCCTTTTTGTTCAAGGGTTCATGGTTACACAATTACCTTCCTGTGACTTCCTCCATTCATCTTTCACATTTATTCGCATTATTTTTAACGAGTCTCTCTCTCGCGGTGTAAAATGTTCAAGTAACAAACTAATTTCAAACTTTTTTCTTGCTTACCTTCACATCATGTTCACTCTAATTTAAACTAAGATGAAATGTTTTAAAGTTGCACGACCATTCCTCTGTTTTCTTTCCTCAGTGCGGACGAGCGCTTTGACGCCACCTTCCACACCAATGTACTGGTGAATGCATCAGGTTACTGCCAGTACATCCCTCCTGGTATCCTCAAGAGCACCTGCTACATCGATGTGCGTTGGTTCCCCTTCGACGTGCAAAAGTGCGACTTGAAGTTTGGCTCCTGGACGCACAACGGCTGGCTGCTGGACCTCCAGATGTTGGATGTGGACATATCCACCTACATATCCAATGGGGAGTGGGACCTTGTGGGTAAGAGAAGCACATTGTTTTTCTTCAGAATATATGGCTTTACATAAGAGTCTCCTATGATTTTTACATCTAAATGCTAAGAGGAAATGAAAGCTAACTTTGGAGAAAATTATCCTCTGCAGGCTAATAATTATACGGTACAATCAATTGCTGCTTGGTCTTCCCTCAAAGTGAGTTTAACCTCAGTCTCCTTTAATCTGTAGTTACAGCTTTAATTATTTGAAAAAGCTCAATATTCAGGCATAACCAACCTATACAATGCTTCAAAGTCTGTTAAGGAACATTGCTCATTGTAAGGGGATCTGGCTTTGCCACCATCCTCTGTACAAAATGGACTTGAATTCCAGTTGTGTAAATAATTCCATGATGGGACATCTTTTGGACGGTTGTAGCGGGATTAGAAGAGCTCCCCAGTGGGAGGTTCCCAGCAAGGACTAAACATCAGCTAAAACCGTCTGTGCTACATTTTATAAAGAAATAAATCTACCAAACCCAGACTTTGCAGTTATAGCATGTTTGCCTTTGGCATTTAACAAGAAATGAGTGTCAGACGGCACCATATGGCATGTAATATAAATTTTTGACTAACTGGCAGGTGTGTAGCCAGACCATGTGTTAGAAGAGCAAGTCCAAGCCCTCCAGTTACAGTCTAAACAGAGAATGTTTGGTTTAAAAAATCCAAAATGCTAAACATGAAAATAAAAAAAGTACTCAAACTCATATGCAATCATTTCTTGGGGTTGAGTTAATTCATCAATTATCTACCCAAAGACAGGGACACCTCATTTAATTTAAAGAATCGTCCTACTAGGGTAGGTTTGTTTTGAGAGATTTGTACTTGGAGAAAAAAAAATACTGCGACAAAGAAATCAAAGTCAAGAGCTTATGGAATAAGATCTAGAGTCAATTCTGATAAGTAAGTAGACTAATAATAACAACAGTTTCCCAGTTATTTAAATCTTCCGCTTGAATCCCTTTGTTGGTCCACAAAGATCTACTTGATCTGTACGTGTGTGTTCTCTTCCCTCAGGTGTGCCAGCCAAGCGCAACGAGCTGTATTACGATTGCTGTAAGGAGCCCTACCCAGACGTGACATTCACGGTCACAATGCGCCGCAGGACACTTTATTATGGCCTCAATTTGCTCATCCCCTGTGTGCTGATCTCCGGCTTGGCCCTGCTGGTCTTTCTGTTGCCTGCTGACTCTGGAGAAAAGATTTCTTTAGGTGAGGGAGCCTTAAAACACAAACACAAACACATAGACTCCTGGCATGAAATGAATTAGAAACCATTGAAGATTGGTTTAATATTTTGGTTCCCCAGCCTTTGGTAAGTGTAAACAAAATGAAAGATACATTTTGAAAGGTTTTTAAACACCATAACAATATTGTATTTAATAAATTAGGACAGTTCACAATAATCAACTTATCAACAATATGCATCTTTATAAATATGCTAGAATTAGCACAATAGCGAAATTTCAGCTGTAGTCCTAAGGCAGTTGCTCAAAAAAACACGAGACAAATTTTACAAATGAAAGACACCTTGAAGGAGAGTTCACTAAAAAGCACAGAAACTGTTTTGCATAAAAAAACATTGAAGTTGTTCAAGCTTATCTAGACACAACTGTACACCATCACATAAACACAAGTGTTTGTTCATGCATGTCCTTATCAATCATGTAAGAAGCCATGAATACTATACGTTTGTAAAAATCACCTTGAAAAAATTGAATGACAAAATAAGAGGCTTGCTACTAAACCACCAGGAATTCCACCAGTTCTGATGAATAGCTACCTGTGCACAAGCAGTCACGAGTTACAGAGCCAAGACTGTTTGAGAGATTTCTGGAGATGTTACCTACCTTCAGACAAGTCAGAGGAGCCAGCAGCTGATAAATAGCTGCAGTCATGAGACGCTAACTGATTACATACATAAGTAATTACAAAAATAATTTCATAGTCCAGTGACCCTGATCACATCGTTATGTAAATGCTCGTGTTCTCTCTCTATCTCTGTCTCAAGGCATCACCGTGCTCCTCTCGCTAACTGTCTTCATGCTTCTGGTGGCAGAGATCATGCCTGCCACGTCTGACTCGGTCCCTCTCATCGGTGGGTATATATGTTATGTGTTTACATGCATCATATTTAAGTGTGCAACATAATATTTGAATATCCTAGAGGAAGTTGCAGTGGGCACGCCTCAGGAGAGAAGGCATCGTTGCAGATAGGATATTAGGATTAGAACATTAGCAGTACATCTCTTCTTAGATTCCTGACACTGCATACTGCTAATGCATGTGCGCCTCTTGTGAAAAAGCAAAGGTTACAAATGTCCTTAGAAAACTACAGTGACAGTAATATCGATCAGAATCAGCGCAAAGGCATTACTGACCTCTCCACAGTAACAACTCAAGTGTCCCTCTGAGTAATTCTTGCACTTTGAGTAAACAATCATATAAAACATGCATTAGTTGTTGCTTTGAAAGCCGGAGCATAAGCCTGCCTGTGCTGTACATGCTGTATATGGTCTCTTCAAAAAATAATAAATAAACTCCCATGTTGGTGGACGACAGTCCGAGGGCACCTATATACATCATTCACACTTCCCCTGGCGGTGTGAGAGGTACGTTTGGTGGCCAGAACTAAAGCTGTCAGTAACATTAATAGGCTATGAAATGAGTCTCCGCTGGGCAAGAGAGGAAAGAAAGGTAGCAAAGAAATAATGGATGAAGAAGGGAAGAGAAGGGTAACCTTTAGGCCACAGTTCTCCCTAAAAAGAGTTAAAAAGGTTTTTGAAGCAAGTGAGCAGGCAGATATGTTGGCATGTGGTTGTGAGAGTGTGTTACATGCTTTCAAGTACAACTGGATCCCTGTATGTAATGTGTCAAAGTGAAAATGTATCATACATATCAACTGTACATTATGTCATTGTAAGTGATGTAGCGTTCAAGCTGAACGTGGTTACCACTACATCAATGTATGATAGCTGTCCGCACTGAGAAAAGCTTGATAAATGCATCATCAGTGACGTGATAAATCTGTAAATCTTTTTTCATTCTCGTGACCTCAACACAAGGCCGACCAGGACACGTTTAGTAGCCGTGTTAAAATGACTTATGCACAGCACAGTGGCTGAATGTTGATGTGAGTTGTTGTAAAGTAGCTGCATGCATTCAGCTGTAAATGTGGAAAGCAAGTTCAACACTGCTACCAGAGTCAGGCCATATGTCTTTTATTATCAGCCCTTTATCTCCATATTAGCATAAAATGCTCCTTTTATTTCTGTTGGCTTTTGAAGACATAGCTTATCTGTTTTAAGATCATTTGAAGTGTTTATTTTATTTCAGTTCAGTTCAAATGTATTTACATTTAGTTCAGCCATGGTCCCCATCATGGTTTGAGTTATTGTACGCTTCCTGTTCTTGCCCCACCATACCTCTTTGAGCTTCTAAACCCGTATACGCCCACCCGCTCTCTCAGGTCAGCTGATCAGCTGCTCCTGAGGGTGCCTAAAACCAAGCGGAAGCTCAGAGGGGACCGTGCGTTTGCAGCTCCAAAATTATGGAATGATCTGCCTCAGCACGTTAAACAGGCCTCTTCTCTGTCTGTTTTTAAATCTCTTCTTAAGACATCTCTTTTCCCTGGCCTTCCCACTTAGTAGGAAGTCGACTTCATTTATTTATTTGATTTCATTTGTGCGTGCCTTACTCATGTTTTATGTCTTTAAATTGACATTACTTTGTACAGCACTTTGGTTAACTAAGGTTGTTTTTTTTGTTAAAGAGCTAAACAAACAAAGTTGGATTTGATTAGATTGGATTCCTCTTTTTCCATATAGAAGGACATATTTGTCATAAATGACTGAGCTTCAAACAATAATGATACACAAATATCTCTTATTTGTGGGCCTCGGTTTACTTCTCCCTATATAAAATAAATAAACAAATAATGAATTCCCATCTCTCTCCCTCCAAAACAACCCTGCCTTTTACCATCTCTCTTTTTTATATCATAACAAATAAGGTCACAACTCTTTTGCCACTATCACATGGAGTTTGACTTTTCTGGCACTGCAGCAGTTGTGTAGTCATGTCAAGCTATAAGCCCTTTTCTGTTTACAGTCACAAGCAAACAAGTGAAATGAGGGCAGACCCTCAGATATATGTTTGTGTGTGCGCAAGTGTAAAGAGAGCACAGCGTTCAGTTTATGCTCCTATCCTGTCTTACTCTTCCCTTGTGAGGGTAAAAAGATCTCTACTGTTTTCCTTTTTTTCTGTCTGAATTATATTTCCCCCCATGCATCCTTTCCCTCTGGCAATATGTCTTTTCATTGGCTGATCAGCTTTACTTTCCTTTTATGTTTAGGTGTGAAATCAACTTATTTTAGTTATTTCAAGCTCAATGTTTTATCTTTTACTGAATGCTGTTGAATGTGACCTTAAGGGAAGGTCAAGGGAGAACTGCAAAAACAAGTAATAAACTGCCTGACAATGTACGTCTGAAATCATTCTTGATGTTCCTTTTGTACTCTGCAGCTCAGTACTTTGCCAGCACCATGATGATTGTGGGGATGTCTGTGGTGGTGACTGTTATCGTCCTGCAGTTCCACCACCATGACCCACAGGGAGGCAAGATGCCCAAGTTGGTGAGTGACAGAAACTGATCTAATCAGATAATCATGCCTATTGTCAGTACCACTTAGCACAACTGTGTGTCATCATATGTGTGAACCACTGACCTTCTTCCTCTTTCTCAGGTTCGTGTGGTTCTATTGAACTGGTGCGCCTGGTTTCTCCGGATGAAACAGCCTGGTGAAGAGCGCAAGCGGCCTGGCTACAAATACCGTCACCCGACCCAGCACCACTCTAGCACCGGCTCCATAGAGATGGGTGCTGTACCAAGCCTCAGTGTTCCCCTTTCACAGACTTCCTGCCCACCATGCCCCACAGGCACCTCCAACGGTTCCATGAGCCTTTACTTCAGTAACTACCACCCCATAGAGAGCCCACACTGCCCACCTTCTAGCGACTCTGGGGTTGCACTAGGAGGACGTGCCCATGGCTCGCCCAGTGATGAGGCTGAGCCACCTGGAGGGGTTGGCAGTGGTGTTGGAGGTCTGGGGATGGGAGTTGGAGCTGGGATGGGTGTTGGCATCCCCCCACCAGAGATCCAGCACATCTTGGAGGAGGTTTCATACATTGCTCAGCGTTTCCGGGACCAGGATGTGGCTGAGGCTATCTGCAGCGAGTGGAAGTTTGCAGCGGCGGTGGTGGACCGGCTGTGTCTGGTGGCCTTCTCTCTCTTCTCCATCATTTGCACCTTCACCATCCTCATGTCAGCACCCAACTTCATTGAGGCTGTTTCCAAGGACTTCACATAGCTGGTTTCAGCAGCTAGAGAGGGGCGAAGGACCATTCAAATATTAGAGATAGAGAAGAGAATAAGAGAAAGTGGATGGGGGAGGGAAGTTATAAAGAATGCAATATGTGGTCCTGTACCTGATGTCAAAGAGGTAATCAAAGCTATTGGCCAATAACATCTATTAGTGATAAACAAGTTGTGATTAGACACATTTTAGTGTTATATTTGTAAATTCTTAATGAAACTGTATTTACATCAGAGACCAATTTTTATTGTCTTCAGAAGGAAAACAGGTTGGGTTTGCAGACAAATGAGCCCTCAGGCTGGAGTTGGAAATCACAGAGGCAGTAGAGTGTAAAATAGATTTCCTTTTCTAAATTGTTGTCAAAATATTAATAAGGAGTATTATATAGTGTTGCTGCATATTGTCTTTACCCTGACAACAGTATGAGTATAATGATAATAATGATATTCATAGTAATTATAACAATTGATTGAATTTATATAGCGCCTTCCAGGACGCTTTACATGGTGGAGGGACCAGACAAAGAACAAAACAAAACTGGTGAGAGGCAGAGTAAAGGGGTGGTTGTAGGCTGTGGAGAATAGATATAGTTTTAGAAGGTATTTGAATGAGTCAATGATGGGGCATTGCAAATGTCTGAGGGAAGGGTGTTCCAGAGGGTGGGGGCTGTGACACTGAAGGCCCTGTCTCCACAGGTGCAGAGTGTGGTGTGGAGAGCAGGCCAGGGTCTGAGGACTGGGGGTTTCGGGACATGGTGTGTGGGTGTAGGAGGTTGGAGAGGTACTGAGGGGCTAGGGCTTGGATGGATTATCATTGTTTTATCAGCTTTATTTGTTTTAAAAACTTGCTTTTTTTGTCCTACAAATACCACTCTTCTCTCCAGTGCATTTAAGTCATCCAAGCTGTCGCTGTCTTGTACTGTTAATGTGTAAATCAACACCAGTTCATACACCAGCTGTATATCTTCTGAACCCAAAATCCGACTTCACAGACTTTTCAGATGATCATCTCCACTTTTTGTCAAAAAACAGCTCTGAGGAACATTTATTTTCTGCTGATATTTGTGGCCCTTTGGACAAAAGCAGTAGCCGACTTGTCATGTTTGAGATCTTGATCCTGCTAGCATCTCTTTTTGTCTTGGAAGCAAAGGAACGAAAGACACATCCTCTTTTTAATTCTTTTTCCTTTTTTTTAACACAGTTGTTAGCAAGATGCAAAGTGATTAATCTATGTGTAGCTATGTAATTAGTATGCTAACTAAGAAATAATTATGATGACATTTTGTAAACCTTTTTTTTATTACTTTTCAAACACAAAGCCAACAGCAAACAGATTTGTTTGCATCAGCAAGCCCCTGTAATTTAAGTCTTTATTATAATATAAACCAACAGATTAATATAGATAAATTGCAATGTTACTTATTAAATATTAGATAGGCCTAAAGGAAAAAGGTCTGTACACCGTTCAGCTCCGTCTTCACTTATTAAATAAGAGAAGGAGAGCAAATTTGGATTCCTTTTTGCTGTTTTCTAAATCTGTCCATTTGACCTTTTTTGTTCTTTGGTCTATTCACTGTTTACACGGCAGCCATTTTACTGTGATGCCATGCTAAGTCTGGGAAGCTCAAATGATGCTATAAGTCATCATGTTGTGTTCCAGGTTATATGTTGTTGTATGAATAAAGTGTATTTGACTATCAATATATTTCTACTACTTCCAGATAATGAGCAACTTAACAGAAATGGATATTAAAAATCCAGAGAGAGAGAGAGAGAGAGAGATAAGGCTATTTCAGGATAACAACTAATTTGATAACGAATTAGCTACCGTTTTACAGCAGTTAATGTTAGCATTCAACCACTTCCTTGCTAACAATACAATAAGCTAGGATTTAATATCCTTGCTAACGTCACACGGGCAAAGAAAATACAGATTTTCAATTGGATATGGAATTCAAGCAAGTTCAGCTACTTCTAAGCTAGCATTAACATTAGCTAACAAGTCACTAGATGCTAACATTAGATGTTACCTCAATGTAGCTTATTGGTTTAAAATCTGTTGTTTATGTTTGAATTGGCCAGATTCTACCATTTCATTTTCAAAGCAGTGTAATGATGAACTTATTGTCAGATTCTCTAGAGGTATACGACATGCAGCCTAGACAACAGCAGCACAACAAGAACATTTGAACTTCCAGATCTGATAATGACCTCAGAAGAAAACCGTCAATTCTCCACTTTTCATCACTGCTGAACCTGCTCTGTAGCTACAGATGTGCGTACTAGTCTCTAGTTACGATTCCCCCCCCCGCGCTTTGTTTTACCTGGTTAACTTACTACTGACTGTGAAATCGTCTGGTTTGCTATTGTGTGTCATATAGAGGCATCAGTCATAACTGAAGAGAAGAACTCCTCATTGTGCGGTCAAATGAGATGTTTCTACCTTTTTTTTTCACTTTTTTTCACAGAATGAAATATAACTGGATTATTTTGACACAAATGTAGAGGTATATGTATTTTTATTAATGAGATTAGAAATGCTAAATTAGGATAACTTTGGGTTGTTTGTATTATTTTATAGCTGCAATACAATCCGTCATGTTTGAACAGTTTGTTTTTATGAAATGATGAAACATCCACTATGTTGTATTCAATTGAACTGTGTTGACTGGTATTTACTGGTGTTGACCACTAACAAAAATATACACATGTCCATCTATAGTACAGTAAAACACTGTAAGTTTCACTGATGAAGCAAGTCAAATAAAAGTTATTTATCTACTTTAAATGGTTTATATTTATGAAGTTTAAAATAATTCGCATTCATTTACTTGTTGGAATTCACTAAACATAGATGGCCATTGACGTTGCTGAGCGTTTAGACTTTTGAACCTTGGAAATCTACACTGTCCCATCTGCCACTGTATCACTGGAGAATATACTGTAGATTTAAAATTGTCCTTGTGTCAGTGAGTTTTGTCTGTGTTTGTAATTTCTGCCAGGTGTTTATCACAACCAAGTCTTTAGAGCGTTTCGTTCCACCTTCAAGCCAACTCTTTGTGTTAGTGGCCATTGGTCTTTGTATCTCTTTTTCTATTAAGTATGGGTTTTTTTGCTCTATGTTAATAAAGGTTTATTTATTCTCTGTATAACAGACTCTGGTTTGATCTTTGGGAATACAATGAGATGGGAGGGGATTTGCTTTGTTCCGTCTCAGAAGAAATCTGTGATTTTTGCAAGCCAAATATCTCAGCAAAAATACAAAGGAAAGTGGGAATAAGTAATATGACTGGTAATATTAGCCAAATCCGTATAAACAGAAGTCTGCAAATTAATCATTGTTAGACGAAAGCTGATGGCTTCCAAGATTGTATGTCGTTTTTAAAGATTAGCACATTCACAAACAGTGTCAGCTTCACTGTCCTCGACGGTAATTTGGAAGAGTAATGAGACATTGAAGTGTCTGGTTTGTGTGTCACAGAAGGCTCTTAATCTTCGACTTTTATAACTGATGTTCATAAAGCTATCATGTTTAATGGGACATCATTTGCTAACCTCGACATGGGGGTGGGGGGGCTAAAACCTTTTAGACAGGTCAAAAAGTAAAAGAATCAGGATAAATAGGACAAATGGTCAGGATAGGACAAATACAAGTAGAAACTTGCAAATGATTTAGTGGAGCTGTTTCTTTCTCATAAAGAGTTAACACATTTTTTGTGTGTCAAACGAAGAAGGGAAATAATAATGTGAGAAATCTGAGCTGGAATATGCCCAAAAAGCAACAACAACTGTACTAGATGGAGAATGTGGGACATATTTCTCTTCTGTGGTCTAGGATACAGCTCTGATGTCTTTTGTGTGGCCAACAAGGCTCCCACTCAACTTCCTGTTGTTTGATGTTTGGTGGATGAGCTCCAACCAGTAAGACAGGGACCACCTTTCAGGCAAAGCGTTTGATGCATTTATTTCTTCAAGAGAAATCTGTTTTCAATATCAGTAGGTCTGCAGAGTGGGGTACTATACACAACCCTGATAAAAGGGGTTAAATTACATGGCTAACAGTGATACCACCAGAACCAACCAAACAAAAACTGTGTAGAACTTATTATATAGTTATTCAAACTGTGATTTGGACTGATGAATCAATGAGCATTAGTAAGTGAAGCCACAACTACTAATAAAAGCCTTACATCTATCAGATTTACATATATTGACATTAATATAATTATTAAAGTGAATCTTAAAGCTGCTCAACTTCAACCTCTATAATTAACATAATCAGTTCTTCCTGTTTCTTCATCATTACAGTTGCTACTGTCATAATCAGACTTAAAAGCACACATTCTTTTACTATTATTACTGACATTGTAGCTAAAAATATATCTTTTCATTCATTGCTGTAGTTGTTGCTCTGTTTGTCTCTATCCTTGTCCTTGTCCTTGTCCTTCATCTCCCTCTATCCCACTTTCTAACCCCAGCACAGTTTCTGCAGATGGCTGTTGAGTCTAGGTTCTGCTTGAAGTTTTTGCCTGTTAAAAGTAAGTTTTTGTCCTGCCACTGTAACTTTGTTAACTGTTATGCTTAGTGCTCATGATGGATTCATGTTGGGTATTTGGTATATTTGTAAATAATTTAACAATGAGTAAGGTCTTTTACTTGCTCTTTTGTAAAGTGAGATAACATTTGTTATGATTTGGTGCTATACAAATAAAGATTGATTGATTGATTGATTGAGAAGGAATGGTTAAATACATCATTTAGATTAATTGTGTACACTTTCAATTGTATGTTGAAGTGGAAAGAAGCAGAGGTCCCCCCACCTCTCACTGGTTGAAACCGTCAACCCGTAAAGAATATTAAGTGGGGATAATCAGAGATTGCCAGCTTTAAAGATAGATTACAGTTTAAGGATAGGAAAGAGAGTTTGTGATTGAGGGTCGTCTCTGGCAGTCCATATGTTCATAACTGTGTGTGTGTGTGAGTGTGTGTGTGTGTGTGTGTGTGTGTGTGTGTGTGTGTGTGTGTGTGTAGCTCTTGAGTTATCCGAGGGTTAATCCATTCCTCTCAGTGTATCTGCATGCACCTTCTGATTTCTCTGCATGCCTTTGCTACACCCTTGAGTTTTTTTTGTGTGTTAGCATCTATGTGTGTGCATGTGTGTTTGTGAAGAGAAACAAACTTTGTCAAAGCATTGAAGAGCATTGTAAAATATCTTAAAAATATCCTGAACCTAAGCTGCACAGAACTTTCTCTCATTACACAGAATCACTGGAAATTCTTAAAGAGTGACTAAATGAAATGGTCTTTTATGTTTTACGCTTGGGATTAATACCAAAGATTGGAGCCATGATTAAGAAACTCTATGTGCCATTCAGTTTTGTTTTTGCACTTTATATGCCTAAGGGTTACAGAATGTTAGATTTTGTAAAACATGATAAAATCTGCTGTATATCAGTACAAGCACCGACACACTTAGATTACATCTGGGATGATTTTTTAAAGCAGAAGATAAAGAAGGGAGAGGGGGAAAGAGACAAAAACAAAGTGAGGGATGGTATGTTTGAAACTGTGTGTGTGTGTGTGTGTGTGTATGTATGTGTGTGTGTGTGTGTGTGTGTTTGAGCTCAGCTGCTAGTGCATCTGTGTCACCTATTTGTTTTTCAGCCCTCTATGGATTCATGTTTGCTTCAATATGAAAGAGTAGCATCTGGAAAGAATATACACATGATATATACCGAACCAACTGACTTCAATGCATACAAACGTTACACAATACCCCCTACAATAAACCCAAAGAGAAATAAAAATGCTTTGAGAAGTCTCAGATAAGTACAGCATTAGCACACCCTCAACATTGGTCTACAGTTGTTTACTGATTTATTTTAATATTAATCCACATTTTGCACCGCAGCCTTTTCTGAGAGCTGCAGTTATAAAAAGCAGCTATTGACCAAAAACAGAATAGGGTAAAGGATGTAAAAACATGCTTATGTATGACTGCAGTAAACCTGAACACATTGTGTTTGTCACAAGGGAGGAGCCAGATGTTGCACATCTTGCTTTTGAACCGTCCAATCGTGCAGCAATTTGGGGATTACACATCAGTCACTCATCACATTACACACAGTTTAATTAGAAATCTGCTCACTCTAATATTCCTCTGGGATTTATGTGAGAATTTCATCAGGGAGCAGAGCACAGCAGTGCTGAGAAGGTAGAAGCACTTGAAAGAAAGGACTTAAACATATAGAGTACAAATTTCTATGCAGAAGAAAAACAGAAAACATCACAACAATAAGTTATATTTTGCTTTATTTTATGCTGATAATGTTTAATACGGGTTGACACACTTAAAATCTTCAACAACAAAAATGTCAACTTCAAAATAAGAATCTAAAATTTTGATTCCAAAAATATAGCACAGTAAAATATATGTGTATGTACTGCTTTAATTCCATTCTTGATTGTTGGTGAGCATGATATGCATGGATGACCTTTTATTCTTTGTGAGGTCAGGAAGGTGAAGGTTTGAGGCAGAATGACGGTAGAATTCAGAGAACTCCTAAAGAAACATGTTATCGGGATCAAACTGTTTCCCTTTGTCCTTAATGGTTTCATTCTTACATAATTTGGCAAGTTTTAATCTTCCTGCACTTTTCCTTGCACGTCTTGTTTTATGTTTTGCATTATGAAAATTAGATTAGAAGAGTCTTGGGGAAAACAAACCACTGGAACAGATGTGTGTACCCCAATCTCATCAACACTGCCTGGTATACATAACAAACCCCCTGTGAGGTAAGACAGCTCTGCTGCCAGACGCAACTGCTAATCTTCGATGGCTAGAAATATTCAGCCAGACATCGGCAGTCAAGAGACTTATGGAATGACAACATGTGAACAAGTGTTGTTGTTGTTGTGTTTGTTGTTGTTGTAGTTGTTTTTGTTGTTCTAATGCCAGCTCCAATGTGTAGATTTGATGATATGGTGTTGACAAGACGAAGCGCAACACGCTGTGTGTTGATTCCTCACATGTATAAAGTTGCAAGTCACACAACAAAAACATGCTTGCACGCTAATCAACATAAACACGTTCACGCACACTGTGCATAGCGGGGGCCTGAGCGACACCAGATTGCACATTCAGAGAGTGTCAAACGGTCAGATTGCTGAGCTCAGCGTGGGGCTGATGTATGCCTCACAGGGAATCAAGAAGTTATGAGCCAAACAGATACACTTTCCTTTTCTGCAGCGTTTGATGGTTAATATTGCAACCGAAGCATGGTTATATACTGCAGGTAAATTATTTTTGAAATCTAAAGCATGAAAAGGTCAAGGGAAGGAAAGGGCAGAAAGTAATGAAATCCATGAAAAAGTTATGGGTTGAAGCCAAGGTTGAATCCAATATGGAACCGACTTCTGCCTGAAGAACTGCTGGCCCAGCATTGCTTGTGTATTCTATTTTTGGTAGGATTACCTGTGTTTATGGTTTGTGAATGGGTTTGGCCAGCCAAATGCTATTCCTTTCTCAACTCACACCTATGTCAAGCCCAGCCTCTACCTCCTCTCTTGGTCCCTCTGCTTATTTTCTTGCTCGAGTACCAAACAATCCAACACTCCCACAACTCCCTCTGGGTTTGAGTTAGAAAAACAACCCTGCTGGCAGCTGCCATGCCAGATGATCATGTTTACCCTTCTTGTCCTGCAAGTTGACCTGCTACCTGTTTGTTTCTCAGGTACAAATAGTCTCTCACCTTTACACAATATCTAATAATAACCTTCAAACAGTGCCATGGCTGGACCGGTTAGAAATCACTCTCTTTTCTTCTTCTGTTCTGTTTTTGATGTCTTTAGTCATGCTAGAGGAGTGTCTCGTTCACTAGCAATCAGGGGCGTGACAGGGAACATTGGGCACCATGGAAAATATCACTTAGGGCCACAGCCTTTATGAACACATCAGGGAAAGACATATTACCAGCAGCTTAAACTTTACTTTGTATTAAGAGCTTAAAAGCAAACATTGGCATGCTAACACACTAAACATGGCAAATATATGAACTGCTACAGATTAGCAAAGAAAGCAATGTCACTATGGTACTCTGCTAATGTTGGTCAAAAGGCTATTTCCTTCATGTAAAGTGTTCCAGAGCTGCTAGCATGCTAGCACAGTAATGTCTTCCTCTTCTGCAAAGTTTTGTTCTCCTGCAAGCCAGTCAACTTTAGTGATTTTTATAACAATTGGATAATCTTCTTATCTGTCTTATCTGATGTAATTCATTTATTGTTTTATATTTTTCTGTCTTTGCTGTTCACTGTTCCATTTCAGTGTTTCATTACGACATTTTTTAATCAATTCTGTAGTGACACTTTCATTACTGTAATAAGCTGTGATTCATTTCAGTGGGTGGGTAAAAGGGACAGCCTGAATGCTAATGTGACGCATCACCAAATTAGAGAGCAGCAGCAAGTACGGCTGGACAGGGAGTCCTGCCATCCATCAGTCTTGTTTTCTCTCAATTTCCTCATTGTATTCCTGGAACGAAGAGCTTTTTCCTCTCTGTGGGCCAAAGGTCTGGATAACTGTGCCCTTGGCTCCGGCTGCAGGCTGGAACCAAAACATGGGTATTATATGCGAGACGTGTAAATCCCCCTAAAGAGACATGGCAGCAATAAATGAGTTAAATGACATTCATATTCATGGCTGACAAAAACAAATGAGCTCATCATTTGCAAATATGTACAATGGAGTCTGCCAAGTGATGATCTCGCCAAGTTTCAAGGACAACCACAAAGGAGGGCAGTCTACTAAAACAAGCATAACACAACACCTAAACACTATGAAAACAGACAATCCAGCAGAATAAGGACCCTAAACTTTTAGCAGGGAATGATGCCAAAACCAATCACATCAGTGCAATTAAACAGTCTTCCATCTAATATCCAAGCCATTAGTTCCAGTGTGCTCAGGGGCTCAGCGGTTAGACTGCAGGTCACACTTTTTATAGCTCCTTGAGAGGAAAGGAACAGCTCTTTTTATTGTGAAATAAAATGTTCTTTAAGAAGAAAGAAACAGCAGGGAATAGGTTTAACCTTCCCAAAAAACAGGCACAAATCCAGAAAGCAAACATGCATGTGTATAAATATCACACAAATTCCTACTGGAAGTAAGCAAGTATGCACAAACAAACTGAAACAGTACAAGCATGAATCTCTCTCTTACAGCTGCAAATATGTGATGATGCACAACCCATAATCCTCAGGCATAAAGTAATCTGAATGAGTGTGCATTTGGATTATCAGTCTGGAACTAATGTGAAACACTTCTCAAACTGGTTGATTGAGCGGTCATGAAAGAGCTTCACTTATGTGGAGATGTAGTGTATCAGTTCCTGCATCTGTTTTTACAGGATGAGTAGACATAATTACAGGTGCAGACCCCTATTTGTACAGCTTCAGCTAGAAAGTATCAGTAGCAGCACTTTAATACTAGTTCTGAATTTACTTTTTCTGTTGACAGATATCAGGGATGAAACGTCTTCCTATTCCCAATTGGCTGCTATTTAAGGATTCCATGACTGCTCCCACACATTTTCTACATGTGTCACTGTGACTTCTATCATCATGATGGGCTTTGTGACAGCTGCTATGGCAGCTCTACTAGCACCATGAACATACAGGATTGCATTTTTCTGATGTACAAAAAAAGAGACTTTGTGGATCCTACAACACCTCCATGTTTATTTAAGCATTAGTGAGTAATATTTTGGGTTATTTTCCCCCCAAATAACTGTTGGAATGTTTAGAGCGCCTATGAGGAACATATCGTTTGTGTCTATCTTTGCACCCCTGGTGTGTCTTATCTCTTAGCGTAATTTATGAAGGTAGTGTTTTTTCTTACAAACGTCTCTTTCTGTTTTCTTTAAACAGTAAAATATATAACTCATCAATAATCTTTTCCATGGAAAATTTGAAAACAAAATTTTATTTTACATTTTATTCTGTTTCATAACCAGCTAGAAACTCCCAATAGTAGCTTTTTACAACAGATTTGGTACAAATATCCATGCCACTCTCGCAGTGAGTTTGACATCTCTTTAGATCCAAAACATTTGTTCTAATGGTTTCTTAAATACATTTATCACATTAAATATCCACAAACCTTCATAGATAATGTATACTTATCCACCATGTCTTTCTTTCAATGTCATTTCTTGCATTTACTTTTCTCATGCATTCATCCAAAACCAGTAACAATAAATGCATTCAGCAATGTGGATACTATGATGACATTACTTTCAAGGGACCAAGATGTCTCATACAGGAGTACTTTTTGAATCTTGATGTAGGAGAATTTAGAAAAACAGCACCAGCATACACTGGTTTAAATGATCACCCAGGCTCAGTAATATTTAACCAAGTACTTTGAAGATACATGCTCTATGTGTAGCCGGTGGCACCTGAGACGCTGCTATTCTCCACGAGGGTATAAAGGGGGGTAGGAACAGTGAGGCAGTGTTTTGGTTCTCAGCCGGAAGGAGAGGGACGGTGCACACCCTCATCCATGCCGGCTGTTTTATTTGTGTGCGTCTGGGAAAACTGGTAAGGAAACATGCCTCGTTTTTTTTATGTTTTATAAAGAGAAGGTATTAACACCAGTAATATTGTGTTTCCAGTTGTCATTTGGTTCGCAACGTTAGGACACATCAGGTGTGACTTCAGGGGCTGATCGCCAAGTGAGTGTCTCTGGTGTGTAGCGGAGCTTGCGATCGGTAAGACAAGTTTTGAAAGTGGTTTTAATTTAGTTTTACTTAAATGGTTATAAAGTCATGTACTTATGCCTTGTCCTCCATTTTTAGCAAAGTCGCCGGGTGTTGTACTTGGCGGGGGTTGCTGGGAAGGTTTGGGCCCAGCACACCAGGTACGCACAGCGATATGTATTTTTGTCTAATAAAGCTATGGCCACTGTGTAATCGATGTTGAGGATATGGTTTTGTATTTTGTTTATTTTGGGATTAGGGTCATTTATTAAGGTGACCAACTAATGCTTCTATTTTCTGTGTTTTAGGGAGCCTGGCAGATTTCCTCTGCTGCTCTTACTGTGTGGGTTTTTGTTTGTTTTCTTCTGTGATAATTTTTGTTTCTGTATTTTGTTTCTAGTCTGCCTGGCATATGAGCCGGTATTTGAGGCAAAAGATCTTTGGGGTTGCCTCAGTAGGTGGACTAGTTTATTTTTTTGTTTTTCATTTTGTTTGTTTTGTTTGTTTTAATTGTCACCACTTCCCCAGTGCAGCGTCAGGGCGGAGTTTATTGCATGCCAATAGTGTGAATATAGTTGAAGTTGCAGTGATATTGCATGCTCTTACATAGTGTGATTTAAGTTGCAGTGATATTGTGACAAGGAGTCTTTTTACTCCCTTACTGTAGAAGTGTGACACTGAATTCCTCCTCAGTAAAGCATCAAAATACCTGCCCAAGCCATACTTCCGCCCATAAGACATTGAAGTCTGCGGCGATTATCTTATGGTGACTCATGAATTTTATGTTAGTTAATTTAATAAACCTTGCCACCTTTTCTCTTTAAATCTGTTTCTGTGTTTCATTTTTGACTGGTAATTTATTTGACCCCTGTTAGGGGACCTTGCAAAGTCTGTGTACCCCCACAGGGCGGGTGTTACATTTGAATAAAGTTTAACTTTCAATGGCTTTAGATGTGAGATGTTTCTTTTTGACTCCAAGAAAACTATGGTCATCGATGTCCAACAGATTAACCTTGAAAGTCTTCAAGTCTCACAGTTACAGTCTGAGGTGATGTTAAAAAATGTCTGTATTGCTTTGCTCTTCTTTGAATTGGAGCCAGGTCAGCACTATCTGGGCAGCTGTGGACTCTTAACAGGAGATTAAGAGCTGATCTAGTATTTAGAGACTGATGTAAGAAACAGGTGTTTAGTCTGATTTCAGGTTGGAAACTGGCCTGAAAGTAAGAGCACTGTGCACATAAAGGCTAATACAGGACATATCCTGAACAGATGTAACAAAAAATTGCAAGGACAATGCAACAACTTCTCCTATTAGCTGCTTCAAGCACAACTAATTAATTATACAGCAATCATTTATACACTACATAGAACAGGTTTTTTTTCACAGTGCACACGTTCTGTTGTATGAATGTTGTAAAATACAGATAAGGACAGAAGAGCATACACAAACATCATTATCATTGATTTTTCATTTGCCCCAAAACAACAACCTGCAGATACTCAGTCCCCATCACATCCAAAGACTCCACATCCAACACATATACACAAAAAATGTGTAATTATTGGTACAACCTATTTTTAAAGATGTGTCACTATTCTGTCCCCTTCGTTCGTTAGGTCTGAACTACGTGACAGGTAGCTAAACTGATAGATCTTGAAAAGGTGGAATAAAGAGCTTGAAAAGGTGGAATAAAGACTCAGACGTTTAAGTAAAGTTGAGGCTGTTTACTTGTTTGTCTTTGTTATAAAGTTTCCTTACAAGGTAATTCCAGACACGATCTGTAAAACTGAAAGAACATACATACAACATAGCTGTACACATTGCAAAAAGGTTTTCAACAAAGTACCTTAAAATCTCTCCTATCAAAAAATGAAACATCAAACAAACAAAGCTTTCCTGCGGGTCAACACAGCCAGATGCAATGGATTGTAACAAACTGTTCCCCTGTGTTGTGTCTCCAACAAAATGGCTGAACTCAGCTACTAACTAGTCATGTGATATAATACACAATACTCAATACTTGAGCAGTCTGCTGGAGATGCGTTTCTTTGCTCCAGTGATCCAGAAGCCATCTGTGACTTGAGTCCATCGTCAACGTAGAAGTCCCTGTGTATGAACTGCTTCGCATCTTCTCCAAACTCATCCTTTCCATGTAGAGCTGCCCGCTGTAGTCCGTAGATAGCGACCGCTGGAGAGGGGAGATTCCCGAAGACATGGACTTTCATCCTATACCCAACTACGTCCTTGGTGGTGTCATTGTCTTTGAACCACAGGAATCTGAGGAAGTTCCTGTGGTCCTCTCTGACGACAAAGCTGTGGAACATTTGCTCGATGTTTGCTATGATAGCTACATGCTCACATCTAAATTGCACCAGCACATCATACAAGGAGATGCTAAGATGTGAGGCACTGGAGTCGAACACAACTCTGATTTAGCCTGGCTTGCGGGCCAAAACTGGGAAGGTACCAGCATTCTTCTCCATCTTGTAGTGGCGGAGCCAGTTCAGCCTGATCTTGGTCAAATTTTTTCTTCATGAAACTCACAAAATGACTCTTCATTTCAGGCTTTCTATCAAGACTGTGGCAAAGGCTATTAAAACGGTTTACTGCCTGTTCTCTGTTGTTGGAAAGGCGTGGCCTTGATGTGTGAAAAGCTAAGGGAGCCACCCAACTGTTCGCGTCATTGATGTCATTGTCCATCAACTGAATAAACCGTTTGTCCTGAATGGAAGGAGCAACCTTGTTGTCATCCTCAGTTCTTTTGAAAATCTTGCTTCCCAGGGATTGATCTTCGGCATCCCAAAGCAGACCGTCAGAGAAAGAAGAGGGACGCTGGTGTTGAGTGCTAAGGGGTTCTGTACCTGTCATTACAGAGAGCTTCTCTTTCAACACAATGTGATTGGGACATGGGCTGAAATGAGAGTGGCGGCCATTCTCCAGAACATTGGTCCTGTATACACTGACTTTACTTGGCTTGTGAACTGAGCCTAGACAGACTTCTCCAACTACCACCCAGCCGAGGTCAAGTCTTTGAGCATAAGGGGCATTGTTTGGCCCATTACGCTGGTCTCTTACTCTGTGGACTTGTAAGACTTCCCGGCCAAGGAGGAGCAGAATCTGTGCATCAGAATCAAGTTCAGGGATGAGGTTAGCAATAGGCTGGAGGTGGGCATGGTGTTTAGCAGCATCAGTAGGTATTTCCAACCTATCATCTGGCATATGGTTGCACTCAATAAGTGTGAGAAGAGGCACACTGAGACTTCCATCTAAGGGCTGAGCAATGAAGTACCTCTCCTTCCTGACATCTCTGTGACTCCAGCACATGTGCGTAGAGTGTAGGGAGAATCTTCACCCTTGAGATCAAACAGCTCAAAGAACTTGGATCGAGCTTGAAACCTATTACTCTGGTCGTCGAGTATGGCATAGACTCTTATCCATCTCTCAGGTCCTCCTTTTGGATGTACTTTTATAAGGCAGATTTTGGAGCAGGAGTGTTAAGTCCGCCGCAAACTTCTGTGCATTTGGAGTTTATGTCAGGAGAAGTCTCTTCCTTTTCCTCCCCCCATTGATGAGAATCTGTGTAAAGGTATCCCTGGGTTACTGTGGTCAGCTGGTTGATTTGTGCTAAGAACTTTGGAGTCGCTGGCACGTTCTTTGACATAATCTGAAGTTGCATTCAGTCTACCCTCGACTGTCAGAAGGACATATTGCATGCTGTCTAGGTGTAAGTGAGCTTCAGGGACATCAAATGACTGATTCTGTATGATGTGAGACTCATGCATTGGCCATGAGTGCTGGGAGTGTATTCTCGAATGGCATTCAACATAGTCGCTTGTCCTTTTCTCTCTGGAGTCATATGGAAGGGCCTTTATATCCTTGAACTTGTAGAAGAACTAGCAACAGACCTGGTCATGTGTGTTGTGGCGGATGCAGCTTCATGTTGATTTCCGCTGTTTTCCATCTTGAGTTTTGCTGTAAGCCTCTTTTTCGTTCGAAAACACAATGAAGCTAAAGGGACAATAACAGAGAGCAGCTTCTTTCTGTGATGATCTCGCTGTGACACTGTTTTTTCACTATTCTGTCCCCTTCGTTTGTTAGGTCTGAACTACGTGACAGGTAGCTAAACCGATGTGATGGATCTTGAAAAGGTGGAATAAAGATTCAGACGTTGAAGTAAAGTTGAGGCTGTTTACTTGTTTGTCTTTGTCATAAAGTTTCCTTACAAGGTAATTCCAGACACGATCTGTGAAACTGAAAGAAATATACAATACAAGAAATGTTCATAATGTAAAAAAGAGCATGAAAAAGTTGTTACTTACTTATGTATACATACAACATAGGATATCTCTTTTTATCGCTCCATAAATCAGAAAATTTTCGATTTTCGCCATGTTTTTATGGATAAACTGTTAAACTGATAAACAAATCAGGCTATGAATGATATATGAACTAATCCCTCAGTAAATACCTTCAGAATAAAGATATGAATAAAACTGGAAAGTTTGGTGTATGCAAGTGCTACTGAAGTGGAGATTTCTGTGTCAGAGTATGAGAAAAAACTCATTTTGAGAAAACGGACATTAAAGATTTGTATTGTAAAATTCCATAAATTCTTATTGGAAATGACTATTTACAGACACAATATATATTTTTTACTCTTATTTTAGGGTATATTTTAGTATTAGTTTTGTATTTATATCAAATGTGTTTTCCCCTCTAAATTAATTTAGTTTTTTCAAACTAAGAGACATAAACACAACCACTACTTGTCCCGACTAAAAGTTCCACTCGATATTCAGTTATTTCTAAGAGTCCAGCACAGTATCAGCAGTAAGCAGATGAGAGAGAAAGAGAGAGAGAGAGAGAGAGAGAGAGAGAGAGAGAGAGAGAGAGAGAGATATATATATATATATATATATATATATACATATATATATATATAGTTCAGCACCGCAACATCATTCCTGGACTCATCTTGAAGTCGCATATGTTTACACGCTCCTGCGGTACTCTCTCTGACACACACACGGCACTCGAGCAATAAACTGCTACAGAACCCATGATTCTGTGAATCTATATTTATTTTCATCCCTGACCCAGCACAATTCGGACAAATTAAATCTCAAAGCAGCTGCTGTGTGGCATGCGCGTTACTTTTATATCTAAATCACCCCACCGGTTTCCCATCAACAGCTTACGTTCAGATGCGCTTCCCAAGGGGATTTCGCGGGGTAATGCATCACAACTTTTCCTTTTACATCCCCTTGCAAGTGACAACTGTTGTTTTCTTTTCATTGATTTACACAAAGACATTTTCATTAATTCCTCAAAGGTCCCGCGGAAAGCTAAACAAGGAAGTGTCAAAGTATACCACGTGATGCGTCTGAACAAATCACGTTATCAGAAACCAACATAAACCAATGAGATTACGTTCTTAGCATTAAACCCCCCTCTGAACTTTCACGATTGGTTGCTGGTAGAAAGGAAGTGTCCTTATTTGGGTTACATAGCGTTGTGCAGGAGAGAGAGAGAGAGAGCTTTTCAGAGATATCAGTCATGACGCAGTTATACTGCACGTCGCATTAGAATACTAACTTTCGGGCAAATTTCCGAGAAATCTAACACCACGATCAGACAAAATGTATTAAAATAAACACATAAATGTATAATTTGGATATTTTCTTTATGGTAATTTGAAACATTACATGTTCAGGGAGTGAACTAGCCCCAAATCTCAAAATTGACCAGTGCATAAAAAATGGATTTTTTTGCCTGCCGTGTCTTGCCTTAAACTTACAAACAAAGCTTTCCTGCGGGTCAACACAGCCGGATGCAATGGATTGTAACAAGCTGTTCCCCTGTGTTGTGTCTCCAACAAAATGGCTGAACTCAGCTACTAACTAGTCATGTGATATAATAATGAATGAATAATGAATAATGAACCAATGAAGAGCAAGCAAAATTAAGCTGCAATACCTTACTCTACCACTAGTTTGTGCTTTAACTCCCTTCATGTACAAGGTCCATAACAGTCACAGTTTTTACAACTTGTCCAGTCTGCATGTGTCACAGCTGTGAGACGTTATGTTTGATCTCCAATATATAGGGCCTGTAGGGAAAAAATAGTCTCTGTTCTACATGTGAAATTGAATCAAACCGAATAAATGCAAATGTCCTCAGCTGCAAACACCATCCAAATACAGACACACTGTGTACACACATTAACTCAACAGTATGTACACATTTACATACTTTATAATCATGCACATTCTTAACAGAGATGACACTGGCCTCAGCCTTGTGTCTGTTCATGTGCTCATGTCCCATATGGGCTTCCTTGGTTAAATTCAGCCCTAATGACTCTTTGCATTCTCTTCAGTTAGTCACAAAGTGTGAGAGCATCCTCCTGTCTAAATAGAGCATCTAAGGAAAGGGAAAAGCCATCCCAAAATAGAATTTGTGATATAATCAGTTTGTTTCAGTCACTAGATTTAATTATTTCCACTTTTTGTTATTCAGGATTAATGTGCTGTTGCAAATTATATGTAGCTCGGTGAATTAATTCTCCAGAACAGATTTTCAACAAATCATATGATGTTGAGCTCAATGTTGATTTAAATGAAGGGTTTATATGTCCTACAATAACTGTAGGCAGCGGGTTCTTTGAGCCTATACTGTGGTTATTTTAATGCTTGTTTTTCCTGTTGAACTCAGCTTGATTGCAACTTGTAAAATAATAACTTTTATCTTCCTTATGAATCAGAGATGTTTAATCTGCTGTTAATGTTCATACAGTTGCAGCTCTTTTAGAGATAGGGGTATAATAACAAAAAATCCCATCATCTGTGTTTGAGTAGATGTTTCCCAACATGCACATCATACCTCCCTAAATACCACCAAGGTTCAAGACTGAGCACCCAACCTCCAATGTATCAAATGAAGAGAGAAAAAACTTATTTGAAGGAATCTGTTTCTTAATGACATCTTGTTGATTAAAAAACATTTTCCTCAGATACTGAAGGATATTAGCGTTTTGTCCATAACTTTAAAAAAAAGGCTCATTACCATGCAGTACCAACTGTTTCTAATGTCGTAACAGATTTCTATGATCTCTTCTCTCTGCTTGAGTTTTGCAGATAAACACAGAATTAAAACTGTGAGAGTTGTTGATTCATATCTTGATTCCTGGTATCTCTCACTGCATAATTAGTTTCCCCACTCATGCTTTCCACAAGTTACATGCACTTCTGAAATTTGGTGTGGGGTTAATCATTTTGCTTTAAATAAATTGTCAGAAAAAGAGAACTATACAAAAAGAGTTTTGTCACCACCAAGTAAAGGGAAAAAAACTATAGACACGAGGAGAAGAGGAAAAGATTGTCTGAAGCATAAAAGATGGATCGGTATCTTTAGAGAACCTTCATTCTTATGTAGCTGAAGTCTGAAGACTGTACAACAAGACATTTCCCTTTTGACACAATTTGAAAAACAGGAATAAATCCCCTTTTCTGTCATATTGGTTCTCAAAAAGTGAGTTAAGGGTTTCATTCTTTCTAATTAAGGAGTGGTAACATGAAATATACTTGTTTTATAGAATAGGTAAAATATTTTATAATGGTTCATGTGTTTATTTTGAAGTCAGACAGGGGCCTTACTGTGTAGAGTTTGCATGTTCTCTCGGTCCATGTTCTCCAGCTTCCTCGCATTATAGTCCTAAGACATGCTAGTTAGGTTTATTGGTGACCCTAAATTGCCCGTAGCTGTGAATGTGAGTGTGGCTGCTTGTCTGTCTCTATACGTCAGCCCTGTGAGTGACTGGTGACCAGTCCATGGTGTACTCTGCATCTCGCCCAAGAACAACTGGGATCAGCTCCACCCCCGGGTTACCCCGAATGGGAAAAGCAGTATAGATAATGGATGGATCGATTGCATCTCTCACTTTTTTTATTCAGCTCATATAGGTTCTTTCATGTTGCAAAATACAAAACTTAGAGCAAAAAGGCACCATGAGGAAAGATAAAGTATTTCCTATTGCTCTCTATAATGCCATGTGACATGTATGCAGTGACTTGTTTTATCCGTGTCAGGAGAATAAAGATACAGCACAGAGCATCTAGACTCCTCTTTCAGTTTGCGACAGGAATAAAACCTTGTTGATTTTTCCATCGATGCACCAATAGGCTACTAAAAGAAATGGTTGAGAGCTTCCACCTGAAAGCTGTTAACCTTGTTTTTATGTTTCATGATCAATCACCACAAACAGAAGATTTCTGGAATTGTCCTGTTTTTTTTCCCACTGGTCTGTAGAGCGAGATGACAGCACATGAGTGACTACAGAGCAGCCTTGTCTTGAGCCTGTTGTCTCCTTTTAATACAGGAGACAGGGGGTCAGGAAGGTTGGTGCTTAATGAGGACCTGTAATAGTACACAAGCAGACCGTAGGACATATGACACTTAATCAGGGCCATGAGGACATGAAAGGACAGGACAAGCCTGGGAGGAACTGACCTTTAGAAACATCAATGGATTCATTTTCACTCAGTCAACAATGTGTCTAAAGCTCTGTCAGAGGAATCCCTGGACTGAAATCTGTTAAACAGAGCTCTGGTCACAATCAATAACATTTTCTCAAGTTTTATTATCTTAGATATTCAAGACTGCCGAGTTGTTTTTGAATGTGTGGGGAAAAAAGACACATTTAAACTGTTCAACTATCTGTTTACAGCTCTGATGTCTCTCGCACATGCATGCAGAAGTAACGTCAAAGTAAATCGCCTGGTGCTGCCTGGGCTCAGGTTTGATTTGTAAACTCCAAATTAAAAAATACAGCACAGATACAAACTTCAGGAGAACATGTTGTGAAGGGCACAGAAATAAGTGAGGAGGAGTGATTAAAGATGTCTTCAGTAAAAGATATGAAGCCATAATGTATGATCTGAATTGTCTTTGGAATCAGAAATCTTGGTACAAATACACCTTTTTTTTTCAGGTTTAAACTTTTATTAGGTTTAAAATCACATTATAAGAACAAAAGCTGTAGGACAAAACTTTTTCAATATAGCATGTTGTGTTGGCTAATGTCGCGCAGATGGGGGGCTCCAATAATGGGGTACAAGATCACATTTGTTCCTTTCCCTTAATCTGTTACAATTAACTCATTAATGACCTGCTACTAAATCTAAATGTGTCTCCGGAGTGTAAGTATATCTGTGTGTGTGTCTGCGTGTGTGTGTGTGCGTGTGTGTGTGTGTGTTTATATTGGTATTTGTGTTGGTTCTTTTATCCATATTGAAACCTTTAATGACCACAGCTATAAAAAATTGGTACAAATGTTTTGGAAAATTATTTCTGAACATACATTCAAAAAACAAATACCCCCCCCCCCCCACACACACACACACACACACACACACACACACACAGTTGTTTGAGAGAGAGCTTTTTGTGAAAAATGTAAAAAACCTGCTAATCCTTATGACTAGTGACTAAAAATACAAAAAAAAAAAACGGGCACTGTGGCCTCATACCTTTACAAATTTACAAGTGTTTTGTTCTGGACAGTAATGGGTTAAAGTCAGTCCAATGTGTATGAATGTGGCGCCATCTGGTGGTGATATTATTATTATTTATTAGAAATAAATTATTCCCGAAAAAAACCCACTATTTTGTCCATGGAAGTCTCTCAGGTCACTTTTTAACAAGAAAAATATTGTTTATTTAGAAGATAAAGGGAATCTTTACAGAAGCAGCTTTCTTTTAGAAACTTTAGAACACAAACTGTCATTGCTGTGAAAATGTGACACTTTATTTACGCTCTCATTTGAACACAGTGTTAAAGAAAACACAACACAAAGCACTTTCAGGAAAAAACTACCAGTTTGTGAGTTTCATTTGATACATATTTCTGAAAGATTGAACACAGCTGTTTAATTGTTGTTAAATATATTTCACATAAATCCAAAAGATTGACATTAAACCCCTCACATGGCTTCTGTCAAAAGAAACAACAACAGCCTTTATTGTTGGTACTGTTATTATAATTGCCCTGCACCTAAGTGACATGTGTCACTACACTCTTTTAAATGAATACAACCCAGAATGTCAAATGTCAGTCAAACAAGCAGACATAATATTATCTTATATATTAAGGACTTAGTCAACAATAAAACGGTTTCTTGCCCAACAACAAACATAAAGAGGTACACAGATACTCTCTCATGTGTCTTCATCAATTAATTCACATCAACACACACAAATTATGAAGAAAACTTTGGGAGATTCACAACATCCACATTTTAGGGTTTAAGTGCAAACTGGATTGCTTGGAGATGAAAAGTATCTAATTTATAAACGCAATCATAAATGTCAACTCCTGCATTCACATTGATCACAGGACACAGCAGTGTTTAATAACTGCTGTCTCATACCTGAGGATCTGATAATGCATCTCATGAATGTAATAAGAAAACATCTGGTTGTTTACGTCAAGAGAAGGAGACAAACAGAACTGAATCTTCACCTTTTTGTTGCAGTGTGCACATAATGCATGTGTAACACACGTCCTTTGACATCTGCTAATCTCGTCCGTTAAATTATTCCTTTTTCTCTTGCCCGCTGGCCTTGCTCTTGTCCCGTGGTACTCTGCCCATGTTATAAAATTCTAAGTTTGGCCTCATGTCGGTGAGGTGGGCCATCCGGTTGGACAAGGCAAAGAATGCAGCGATGGCGGCGATGTCCCAAGCATCCTCGCGGTCAAAGCCCACTTCCTCCAAAGACTGGAAATGCTGCTCAGTGATGGTGTCACAGCGACACACAGCCATTGCAAAGTCCAGCATGGCACGCTCCCGAGCTGACAGCTCTGCATTCTCATAGTTTACAACAACCTGGGTGAAGGTGGGGGAGGACCATGATTAGAGTGAGTGTCAAATGTATGTGATTTATATTCAATTTATATAAGATCATACCTGATCAGAAAGAGTTGGTTTCTTTGAGTAGATACGATGCAGTGCACTGTGGGACACCACACAGTAAAGACACTTGTTGTGGATACTGGTAGCCACTACAATCAGCTCTCGATCTGCCTTGGTTAATCTGCCTGAAGACATAACAAATTCACTTTCAATTGTAAAATCACACAACATTAAATGAAAGGTACATAGTAGCACAGAGGTAGCTGTGGCTTGAACACTATCCTGTTCCTTTAAAAGTTTGTGAGGTTTCATTACAGCTTGCAACTTTCTTTCTTTATGTATCTCCCTCTTTCCCGCTGTCCAACATGAGGCGACTCTACTTGAGGTGTCTGCCTGGTAAAAGGCAGTGTTTCCTTGTCACTGTTACTTTGCTAAGTGGTGCCAAGTGCTGTGCGCATGGTGGATTAATGTTGGGTCTTTGTACATAATAAAACAAAGACTACGGTTTAGACCTGCTCTCTTTGTAAAGTGTCTTGAGATAACGTTTGCTATGAATTGACGCTATATGAATAAAGACTGATTGATATGAGAATGAAAACTGATCGATCATGATGCACTTGAAAAAGAGGTCTGAGTTCTAAGTTGAACATGCCTCCTGAAAAACAAAATCCCAGTGTGACACATGAGATGATACTTTACTGAGTAGAACACATTAGTCACATTAGTCATTAGTCACAAACACACACCTGTCTCTTTGTTCATGAGTTCATTGTAGTAAGCGAAGAAGGCTCTGAACTCTGCCGGTCTGTGAGAGAGGACTTTGAAGACGTTGGGCAGAAATCCCCCCTGTAAGAAAAGGTTAAGTTTAGTAGATAGCTGAATCAAAGTAAGTTTATGAAAAAAGAATTCAACCAAGTGTAATGCTTTTTTTTTTCTTTTTTCCTTATTTTTTTCCTTATTTTTTCTTTTTTTAAATCTTAATTTAATTATCTTTTCTCTCTTCGTACCTTTTCTTTGGATTTTTATCTATTTTTATTTTATTTCATGTTGTATTCTTGTATGTTTAAAAAAAAATATATATATATATATAAAAATTTGCCAGGATGAACAAAATTTGTGATGAAATATGACAACTTGTAATGAAGTAAAACAGCCTGTAATAAAGTATTTAAAAAAAAAAAAAAAAAAAGTATAATGCCTCGTGTTAAAAGATATCCTTACTTTCGACTCGACTTCTTCCATAAGCTCAACTATATCGTAAGGAAGGTCTTTCATGTAAGGAATCGGATAACGACTGATTTGCTCCGGTGGAGGATCACTAGAGAAATGTCTGATCCCGGCCGCCGCCCCCGCTGCTGCCGCCCTACCGCGGGGACACGGAGCCCGGCCGGAGAGACGCCTGGAGGAGGACGGGACAGTCACATGGGTCATTAAGAAGCAGAACTTCAAACAAGTCAAAATGATACAAAAAAAAAAGAGGACTGGCTATTCAACAACTTACGAGCTGTGTGAACACAGTGGGACGAAATAACTTCGAGAAGAGGTTACACGCCATGTCAGTCAACCCGAGGAAGTTTTGCACTTGACGAAGAAGAAGCTGCTCACAGCGTCTGATGTGGAAAAAAAATAAGAGCGTCACTTTAAATCACCTCATTCTTGGTAAATGTTAGCAAGTTATTTAAAGCTACTGTACCGATATCACCATGTATTTTTTACCACGTATTTTATCTCTTATGTTGTCAGGAACCCTCCCTTTGCTTCGAGATGTCAACAGTGTAGTCACACAATCCAACCACAGTGCAGGACTGAGTCACGCCTGCCCTGTGTCTCCGCCTTCATGCTCCCGTGTTGTTATTCCTCCTCGCCGCTAGGGGGCAGACTGTGTGTGAAATAGACGGCAGGGTTTCCATGATTAACCCAATGTTGTTGTTTTTTTTTTTGCCTTTATTTCATCATATAATAAGGTAAATGGTTTGGATGAAACCTGGAGGTGTATAGGGACGGGTATTTATGGGGTAAGTGCAAGGGGTCGCTCAAAACGAACCAAAAACAATACCTAACAAATAGGACTCAGGGCATTTGTGTGCACCGGAAGTGGTTTCATCTGTTGTTTTTTTTAACGAGCGGCAGGTTTTTCTCTCCTTCATTCAGCACAAGGGTTTTTTTTATTTTATTTTATTAAATTAGTAACCTTATCGGAGAAAGGACCGAACATTTCAACAGAAATGTTTTACCACGTAAGAATTTGTATTTTCCTCCTTGTTTTTGGATGCTTATTACAGTGAATTGATGTTTTGTTTACCAATTTTTGCTCGGCATGTTTGCAGCTTGGTTAGCATTGCTAATGAAGCTGAACTAAACTTAAAAACAAATCCTCACATTGATTAAGTGTTGTTGCTTTACATTATTACATAAATTCCACAACTTCTGCTCGTCTTTGTATCGGATACTGTGAGGCAGAAAACTTATGTTCAGCTTCATAATTACTTAAAACATTGGTATAGCTGTTTTACTCTTCTCTCATAGTTCATGTATTTTATGTTCTTAGATTTCTCTGGAGCATGAGATCTTGCTACATCCGAGGTATTTTGGTCCTAATCTCCTCAACACCGTGAAGCAGAAGCTTTTTACAGAGGTGGAGGGAACCTGCACTGGGAAGTGAGTGGCTGATACTGTTTTTAAAATGGTTTAGACTAGAGGTTGTCATTTGTTTACAAAGTGAACTTGATTTTTAGTGACTTGTGAAATAAGGTTGGGGCAGATATAGGATTCATGTGCATTTAAATTAAATTCAATGCAGAGATGTAATTAAACATTGTGAGGGATCACTAATATTTCTCTGATAGAGGATAAACTAAAAGATAATGAATAAGTTAAAAACAAACATTCCTGTTTTAATTTGCCGAAGGGTTATTTCTGTTATTCGAGATCATGTGTTAAGTGATTATAAAAATATGCCTAGGTTTTATTCATTTTGAATTCTTAACACTATACTGTGAGTTTTGACTTAGAGTAAACTGTGGTATAAAAATACTCAATATGGCAATAGATCATATTAGAAACTGTAAAGTCATTGGTGTGAACATGCTAAGTTATACATTCTGCAGTCAAAGGTCTGTATTTAAAGGCTTGACCTACACATGTTTTTTATGTATGTATGTATGTATTTGTTAATGTATTTATGTCTCTCCTTTAGGTATGGCTTTGTGATTGCAGTCACCACCATTGACAATATTGGGGCAGGTGTAATTCAGCCAGGGAGAGGGTTTGTCCTCTATCCTGTCAAATACAAGGCCATTGTATTCCGTCCATTTAAAGGGGAGGTGGTGGATGCAGTGGTCACTCAGGTTAACAAGGTGAGAGATATTAGCTGTTGGCCTATCACCACACTTCCCTGCTGCCCTCTAGTTTATACTACTGTAAATCATTATATAATGCAGTGATTCCAAAACTTGGGGGCAACCCCTTGGGTATGGGGTCTGGAGATATGATTGGGGGGGGGGGGGGGGGGGTAGCAAGGCTAAATGCACACAGTTCTGCACTTCTATCTAAAAGTGGACAATGTTGTGCATTAGCTGCCAGGAAAATGTAAGGATAAACGATGAATCAACACAAAGTGACAGAACTGCTTAAACAGAAACAAAACGAGTCATATCTGTCCCTTTACCTGCAGAACGGGGGTTAATGAAGATAGACCACAGTGTGTGATGTGCCTTAAAGTACTAGAATTTAATAGCATGAAGCTGAAAAAGTTAAGACGGCTTGGAGATGTCATATCAGTTTTGAGAAGATCTTTTAAAGCAATGAAGGAAATGAAGTGGCTGTGTCACTCGTGTTAGTTCTTCGTGTCATACTGACGTTGCAAAAAAGTAAATTTTGCAAGCAATTTTTAAAATATAGGAATTTGCACAAGGATGAGCCTGATAATGTTTGTGTATGTGGTTGTATATTTATATGTTGATGTTTATAGTGGGCATCAGGGGCAGAGCTTGAAATAATTTTCATCTTCCAAGGGGGGCAGAAAAGTTTGGAATCACTGATGCATTACTCAGTGACACTTTCTAAACATTGTTATTGTATAAATTATTAAGTTCAGTAATTGAATTTATTATTTGCTTAAACAGAAATGTACTGTATAATGTATGTTAACAATATGGAAACATTGCCAAGATTATTTTGCTTGTATATTTTATTGACCAATCAAGTCACATGAAATGTTTTACCATAGAAGAGCACATCTTGAAACTTTATAACATATTTGTGTTTCCAGTGAACATTTTTTTAACTTTAATTTATAAATGATAACAAACAATATCCTTCTTGCCCTTCTAAAGAATATTATTTCACTCTTTATTTCAGGTTGGATTGTTCACAGAAATCGGTCCCATGTCTTGCTTCATCTCTCGCCACGTGAGTCAGCTTCTCATTTTTAGTTGTTCACTGAATCAGTTGACTTTGATACGCTGATTGATTTCAGGTTATTCAATTCTGACGAGAAACTTTGTATTTACAGTCCATCCCATCAGAGATGGAGTTTGACCCCAACTCTAATCCACCTTGTTATAAGACAGTTGATGAGGTAAGAAGTTCCCTGTGTTTTTTTAAACAACCAGCAGCAGATTTATCAAATCATTTTTGTTAAATAATCTAAATGTCACATTCACCAAATTGTTCCCTTGCTTAATATTTTTACGACCTAATAGGCAAATGTAAAACGTGTCAAAATCCAGGTTGTATTGGTTACACTGACTGGTGTTGAATTTACTTGTTGGGGAGACACAAATGGTAACACTAGATCTGAAATACTTTGCACTAAGAAGTAAATTTCCCCGTTGTGGGATAAATAAAGGATTATCTTATCTTAATGACTTATACTTAAAGAAGATGCTTACTGCTCTTCTGCTCCTGTTTGAAGTTGTGCGCCTAAGGGATGTTTTCTTTCCCTCTTACAAGGACATTGTCATCCAGCAAGATGACGAGATCCGGTTAAAGATTGTGGGAACAAGAGTGGACAAGAATGATATTGTAAGTATTGCATTGTTGTATTGTATAGTGTTGCACACTCTCATGTGCAAACATTTCCTCTGGTGTTAAGTGATTTTACAGTTCAATAAAAAAGCCTTTGTCTTGTTTTTTTCAGTTTGCCATTGGATCCCTCATGGATGATTATCTGGGTGAGTACCATTTTTTTCCCAAAGAAAAACAGGTGGTAGATTTGTTCATTAGGTGGACAGGAATTTATACATATCCTTACATAAATCTATTTGATGTCAAATTTTCTTCAAACTAAGAAAGACCCAGTTTGACACAGGTGTTTTTCTCTAGTGCATTGATTTAGTTATGATGTTCTCATTTTCTGTTGTATGACCTTAATTATGAAAATGTCTTATTTCTGTGTTGTGATGATAGTAACACTTGCGTCTTGTACTCTATTTCCAGGTCTTGTGAGCTGATTGGCCACAAAAGGAGCACATTTACACAGAACTGTATATCTACTAGCTGAGTTTTTTATTTTTTTGTTAAAATTAATATCTTTCTCTCTGATTGGCAGGGCAGGTAGAAGCCCAATTACTTCATCACTTGACTTACACACTGTACAACACACATTTGTACGTTTTGTTATGTTTTTGACCTGGCATGGAAAAATGTGAAGCCAGCAGAATGTGTGGCTGAATGAAAAGCAAAGATAGTATAGCCCACATTTTTTTTCTTTTGTTGCTAAAGTTAAGTTCTTTAATTTCCAACCTATTTCCATTCCAACTATGGTGTTTTTTTTTGTGTCATTTTTGTAGGTGAACTATGTAATAAAACATTTGTATTTGTTCATATAGCTTTGTATCTCTTCTGTGTTTTAAATATTCTTTGTCAGATTATTCATCTTTATATTCAGAGACTTACGTAGCTGAAAGCGCACGCTTTTTCAATTGAATGTTCACATATTTAAGACAGTTCCTAGGTCTTTAAATGGGACACATCATCACCATGTTGGCAGACTGACTGACCGGAGGCGAAAACGTGAACGCCAGTATTTAAAGTGCGCGCACGACATGACGTGGCCGTAAATACGTCACCACAACGCGCCCTCGTTCTTTCTTTCTCTCGTCCTGAAGATGGCGGCAGGGGTGAGTAAGATGGAGTGGGGACTAATGGCGAAGCTTTCTCGCAAATTTCAGGGCACAATCCATTGTGAATCGGAGCCATCTGGGTTGTTGTTTAATATTTTAACCGATTTGCAATCCGTCCGAGCTGTTAGGTAGACGATGCGGGGTTTATTTACGGATATTTTCATTCAGTGTCGATTCTTAGGACAGCTATCGCTTTCATGACGTTGCATTCAGGCTGAATGACGCGCCTGCCCTGGGCCAGCCGTGTGCCACGTTACCTTCTCCTTTTCCACAAGCTCCGAGAACTTAATGTTAAATGAAAACCTGACTTTGCGTAACTAGGTGGGTTAGTTTATGTAGTCCCGATGAAACCGAAAGTAAGCTTAGCTCAAGTTAATGTGCAAGAAGGCTGTCGTGAAATATTGCCGGTAGTTTAGCGTCGGAACCGAGCTGTAAACCACGTGAATATTTTAATATATTGGACATTTTCTCGCTCAAAGTTGTTCATCGACGTCCAATTCATCTTAGTAACTTGCAGTTTTCTTTAAAA